ATGGTTGCAAGCCATTAAACCAACGGACTGGACTGATGACATAATCCAGAATCCTTTTGTCCTCTTTGGCTGAAATTGATCTGACTCAGGGGTGCTGGCTCTCCGTCTCTTCTTCACATCTCACATACTCATTGTGTCTGTCCTTCCCATCCTGACGTACAGCTCAACCTTTAACCTCTGACGATCAGCCTACATTAGAGCATGAATTTGATGTAAACTAAAAATCTCGCAGCAGTAGTTGTATTTACATTGTTCTAACAGACATTAAACAATGAAAAGTCAATATGAAGCCAGCCGTGCTAGTGCAGTCAGTTATAGTTGTTTGACTTGTGTATAATAGCCCATGTCTTGTATTGCGTTGTTTTATGTCCTTGCTGCTGGCTAGGCCGTACATATCTCTGTAATTTATAAAAATCTTATGACATATTTCAGTATTAAATGTCCTGGACATGACCACAAAATACCAAATTGTATGCGTGAAGAGATTTGTATGCCTTGAGTTTCTCTTTCTGTGTCTGTGTATATACTTGCTGCAGCACTACGCAGCCAAAACGCACAATACTGGTGGTGTCCACTTGGGACAGACAACAGAAATATAACCCGGAAATCGGGTGTGCATGCCGGGTGTTGTAAACAAACATGGAAGCCCTTGATATGCTTGATGAGGTAGAAGAACTATATCACTATGTAACGTCGTAGAAACATCATAGAGATGCGGGTAGTTCCGCACCAGGTCTGTCAGCCTCTCTTCCAAAGTTTCCACCATTGCTCAGTCGAATGCAGATCACGCATGGCAGCCATGATGCGGTCACGTTCGCGTTGTTTGCAGCAAGTATATTACTGGCCTAAGACAACCTGTCTTCTGCTGGCAAAGCCTTAAAGTTATCAGAGGAGACGTCCAGGTAATCCTTACTTATGAGTTGCAAGTTTCAAAACGTTAAAATAATCGTAGAAGGCATCTGGATGATCCTTGTTCCTGTTATTACATGTTGGTGCTTACACTGACACCACTACTGCAGAGGTGTCTCATTCTGCCACTACTTTGATCCCACCTGCAGTAATCAGACGTCTCCCGAACCCTGCGGCTTGACCTTATTTTGCAAGTATGGCTCACTTATTTTCAGCAGTATCATTGGCCGATATCTGTGCTGCTTAATAAGGTCAGTAGTGGTTGCTGATAATGACCCAACAGATCATATTAGTGCAGCCCTAATAATATTAACAGACAGTTTTGATGTGGCATCCCAAGATACGTGATGTTTTAGTCATAAAAACAAGCTTGCAAATACAAATATATCTTTGGTAAGCTGAAACGATCATATTGGACACACAGATGTATCAGTCAGGCATGGTCTGTAGTAGTAGTGGTCGTAAACTGTGTGTGTGTGTCACGGGTTATGTGTCCTCAGGCCTGTATCATCACTTGTGTCACCTCACATGACATCATGCGTAGACGCATTCAAACGTAACCTGACAGATGTGTGTCTGATGTGTCCTCAAAGCATCTCCCTTCTTCTGTTTGTGTGTGTGTGTGTGTGTGTGTGTGTGTGTGTGTGTGTCCCACATGGTGCAGTATGAGTGTTTTTATTAAGGTCACTGCAGCAAAAACAACGTTATGATTTCCACTGTATTATTTTAGAGGTTAAAGATATGTGATGGTGTCGGTCACTCACACACACACACACACACACACACACACACACACACACACACACACACACACATTCTGCCAGTAACAGCAGTGTGTGTGTGTGTTTGTGTGTGCGCATGTGTGTGCAGCCGGTAGTTGAGTCAGACTGCTGCTGTTTGCTCGGAGGATGAAAGCGGCTCTGACTAACTCTTTGTTTCTCAGCCACGTTGTTTTAAATAGCACTTCCTGTGACTGCGTGACCCATGATGCAACACTGCCTGCGCAGTGATCGAATATCCACGTTCCTCTGTCTAATGACAGGATCACTGCCGCAGTTTGTAAAGTCAGGTTTGTTTGAAGCTCACAGTCTGGCTGAGCAGCAACATCACTAACCACCAGCTTCTTAAATGTGACACTGAGCTGCTTCTCTGTTTTATGTCACAGGAAACGGGATGTTTGGAGTTTCGGGCTGTTGGTCAAATAAAAGAAACCAGTTCACCCATCACCATGGGCTCTCTGGACTTGTTACGGTCATGACACATTAATTAATCAATAATATGATGAGTATTTGTTAGTGGTTGCATTGCATGGTTGATTTAAGGCAAATATGTGGGTTTTTTTTTATACAGTTTCAATGTTTCAGTTCATCTCCACATGTCCAAACTAGAGCTTTGATTCACCGCCTGGACCTGATCAGGCCCAATTCAACCCGTCACACTCGGACAGGCTTGAATCGGGTTGGGTTTGCAACAGTTTCCTCACAGCAAGAGGGTTCCTGGTTCAAACCAAAGTTTGCATGTTCTCCCTGTGTCAGAGTGGGTTTTCTCCATAGGTGTGAATGTGAGTGTGTGTCTCTTTGTGTCAGCCTTGCAATACTGCGATAACCCCGTCTCTCGCCTAATGCCCCCCCTCGACCCGACCCCCAACAGGATAAGCAGTTAAAGAACATGAATGAATGTGTCGCCATCGACCCATCCTGAATGTATGTCAGAGATCATGTCACAAATATCTGTCACTGGGCTAAAAGACTTAAGTTAACTTTAGCTTTTAATATTTTGACATTCGCAAAAAAAATGTTTTCACAGTACAGATTTGGGTTTTTAAATCAGGCTTGGCCTCAAAACTGCTGCAGTGGCTCTGGCTTGGGTCAGGCTTGAACAGAATCTATGGAGGTTCACGCAGGGTTAGGCATTATTTTTTGGGCCCAATCATAGCTCTAGATGTTTTTAGAGTAGCTCAGCACAATGATGGCAGCAACTTGGCGAAACTGTTAGCCTAGCTCTATTTAAAAAAAAAAAAAAAGAAAAATCCACCTCACAGCAACTCCAGAGCTGATTTACTTTATAATAGTAGGTTTTAAGGAAATGAGGCAGACTTATATGAGGAGATGCAGCTCAGTGTAACAAACACATTAGAGGGAAGTTCTGACTGTGTGATGTACAGTTTATCAGTGTCTCGGTCATTGACCGTTTTTTTTTTTTTTACAACAATGACCGGAAAATCTGAAGGCCGTCCGTCATTTTGACCAGTTGCAATTACCACCCCTGCCCACTTGGCGGCGGAGTGCACAGTCAGTGGTTTAAGTGGCTGCTGTTTTCACATTGCAGAGAAAAAGTCATTCATCTGCTTCATGTAGCCAAACGCCCTGGACACACCGGACGCGGAACTGAAGCGCAGCGCCCAACAGCAGAGGGAGTTTTCAGTCAGCGCCCATGTTAACCTATCTGACTGTCCACACAGGCCGCTGAGCAGAGCGGAGCGCCCGTGGAGGCAGCACTTCAGTTCGGCGTCTGGTCTATTTTTCACGCGAGCCGCAAGTGCTTCTGTCAAGCTGGATCAAGCGGATCGTACCAAACAGGAAGTCAGACACAGAAAAGAAAAGAGAATCCGGCCAATTTTCAAAATAAAATAACAACAGCACACACTGAGGAACGTGAGGAGAAAATACCGTGTTCATAATTCAAAATAACACAACAGTGCATAACCGAACACATTTTTCAATACCATAATCACTTCATTACAATTTTAATTTTGTGTCACCGAACCTACAGGCATAACTACATAACGCCCTGGACACACCGGAAGCGTTAGTGACGCATTAGTGCCGTCCGGTGTGTCCAGGGCGAAGCCTAATGGCACGGGTGTGTGGATGTCTGTTCATCTTTTCATTCATGTCCTTATTAATGCACACTTTATAACTTGCTTGTTGGATTTATTAAAAATGAACGAATGAAAACTAAATGTCTTTGAATATCTTTATTATCATTTAAAAACGAAAATTAAAATGACCGATAAAAATAGATTATGACCAGATTTTTATGACCCTGTCGGTCAAAATGACCGGCGATGAAAGAAGTCTAGCGCAACGCCTGGTGTCCACATTTAAATTGTGCTGATTCCATAGATTCTCTGTGCTTCTGGGCGGAAAGCATCCATGTTTAAGAATTTGTAGCTTCTTTCCAGCAACATCCATGTAACATAGCATCTAAAGAGAGTCTAAAGACTCTGGTCAGACATGGATGAAAACTGTGACTGCAATTTGACTGGTTTGCGGAGGCTTACAACAGTAATGCGGTATTTCTATTTCTCTTTTGGTGGCTAGGGTAACAGTTTCCCCCTGCTTCCAGTCTTTGTGCTAAGCTAGGCTGTGGAAGTGGGCAGAGTTGAAACATATATCTCATCTTAATAACAAATAAAAGGTGAACCACTTTTTAAAGGTGATATGTGAATTAAAACAGAGGGAGAAAATAGGAATGTGGCTATTTTTTGAGAAAACTGTAGTGTTGATTGGCAGCAGTGTGATCTGTTTCTGCAGGAAGTGACTCCACAAAACATTTGATTACAGATACTCAACAGAAAGAGGATTCATGCGAGTCGTGGCTGTTGTATTATTTGTTGTTCAGGCTTTGAACCTGAACTCTGAATCCAGCAGAACGTCTCCAGGGTTGTTGCCTGCAGAGGAAATGAACTTTTGGTGTGTTCTCGCTCCGTTAACAAAACAAATGTGTTTTCAAGAGTTCGGCCTCACCAGAACAATGTGCAGTAATTGGCCTGACATTTCTCGGCCTTATTTGGCCGCTGCTGATAACTGAAGTTGATATTGTTGTTGCTGAGCTACGGCAGGATGTGATGTCACCAATCCTGGCCTTGAGCAGCTGACCTCTTCCCGCTGACAAATACTGACTTCCCTGAGTTTGACGACAGTCGTATCTCAGATTTTGCTTCACTGTTGAAATGTGAGGGCTTAATGCAGAGCACAAGATTCATGTTCTTTAATTAAACCCTCAAATAAAATGACAGGCAGTAAATATGGTGCACTGTAGGGCTGTCACTTAATTTAAGTCAGACTTTTGTTTCATTGTGGGAAAAAATGAAATATTCAGATGGTAATGATCAGTTTTAATTCAAAATGTACATGTAACTCAAGCAGACATGTCTGTATTTGTAGTATCATTTATTGAATTACGTCCTCTTCTCTCTGCAGACCTCTCAAAGAACAGACTGGCCGACGTCCCCACAGAAGTCTGCCACCTGGTCGCCTTGGAGACACTAAACCTGTATCACAACTGCATCAGGACCATCCCAGACAGCATCATTGGCCTGCAGTCACTCACCTCCTTAAATCTCAGGTACTCATTCACACACACTGAGGTGGTTGTCTTCACTGTGTCCTTACTGTACCAGGGAGAACATGAGGATCTTGAGAGGGTGTTGCATTCTGGGTATGATGCAGCAGCATCTTGATAGCCCAATGCTGATATTAACTATTTAAAGTTAATTAAAGATATTTTGAGTATGATTGTAATTCTTAATTTAGGCTGAAAGCAGACGTACTGCTGCTGCATCATGACTGTTCACCTGCATGCTTTCATTTCCAGAGAGCTCCTGAAGCACTGACTTTACTGCTGTCGCTCTCATACAATATTAACATAAACTCACTGTAAACTCAGTTTCATAAATTGAAGTTAAAACATTCACAGTGTTAATTCAACACAGACTGGAAAAGATCCAGTTAAGAGACGTTTCAGATTCACACCGAACAAAAAATACAACAAATCTCAGTCCTGCATTAAATGACATTATCAAAATAAAAGAATAATTCTGTTTTATTACAACCGGTTTTTATTTTTTTAATTTTATTAGCTTGTTATTGTTGTGACAATTAATCAATATATTTATTTTTAAATCCCAGTATGGCCAAGTGCGATATCTAAATGTCAGGAGCTGTATTTTTTGATAAAGGTTAAATGTGTCACAGCATGTTATTATAAATGAAGCACTGTGGTGCTACAGAGACGCTCCAGCCTGCAAATCATATTCCAGACATAAGGGAGCATACTTGTCTGGTACCGACAGCAGCAAAAGTCCCATCATCATCTCTGTTATATTTCTTTTCATTGAAAATTAAATGCAGAAATTACCATTCCTGCTAAAATCGCCACCCATAAGTCAGTTGCAGTATCTGTTAAAATAATCGCAGTAAGTTGTTTTTTTTCCAGATAGTGCAGCGCACTAGGGCTACATCATCCAAATGGCATGTTGTACATGTTGTTATAACTGTGCGTGTGTGTGTGACTGCAGCATCACACTGAATCAGAGTGATGAAGCAAAAATAAAAACAGTGTCGTTGTCCTTTATTGTGAGCAGACTGTGTATTGTGTGTCGGCTTACAGTCTCAGCGCTCCCGCTGTGTGAGTCACTGCAGGTGCGAGTGTGTGTTTTGGTGTGTGTGTGGTGGCATAGATGCTGCAGGGTGAACTGCAGAGCTTGCCAAGTGTCAACACACACACAGTGTTCAGTGGACTGTTGGTTAACCCAGAAAACTTTCACACACACACACACACACACACACACACACACAGTGTAGCGCTCTCTGTCAGGTAGTGTTTAAAGGTCGAGGTGTTCCTGCTGTCTCCACACTGTCGTCACTGTGAGACTCTCTGCTCCTGATGTGTGACTCTGATCTCTATTTAAAAACATTAATGTCACCTCTTAGTTTGTCAATTTGATACAAGCTTTTAGACAGTTTAGGTTTTTGGTTTTTGTCTGTATGTACATTTTCAGTTTGGATCCTAGGTATTGTTTTTTAAAGGAGACCCCAGGTCTGTTTGTTTGAGAAGAAGAGACCTCTGTGGATAATTAGGTTCACAGTAAAAACCTCCCAAATGTCTGGATCAGATAAAGGTGAGCACACATTAACTTATGAGAGAAAAGGGAGCCACTGGTCTTTGAGATACCAGTGCAGTGATTTGTAATGTGAAAGGGTTTTATTCAGTGCTTTTACCAGCCTGGTCCGGTTGTTTTGGAGAGGAAGAGGCCTCAGGGGATAATTCAGCTCCCAGTTAAAACCTCCTGAACAATGAGCACTGAAGGGATTCTAACCAGGAGAAGTTTCAGCTGGTTGCAGTCTGCACTTAATCCTAACCCCACCAAATCCCCCGAAATACTGACTTTCCTCAACCATCATGTTTTTATTACCAGTGAACTGGATCTTTTTTCCTCTTCGCTGCTCAGCTCAGTTCTCCTCTTCACACACACACACACACACACACACACACACACACACACACACACACACACACACGTACACAGTTTTCTGTCATGGTGTTATCACTGAGTTAATTAGTAATTTAATGAATAATCGATTTGATCAGGTTTTTAAATGCTGATCTGGTGGAAAAAAATCAACCACAGTGCATGAACACATGACCACAGATGTGTGTGTGTGTGTGTGTGTGTGTATGTGCTTGTGTGCTGCGCGTCTGCATGCATGTGTGTGATGTCTAATATTCATAAACACTCTGGACAGAAAGGTCTTTATATTTCGCCACCGAAAGAAAGGCGAACACACACGCACACACACACACTCACACACACACACACACACACACACACACACAGTCTGTCCTGTTACAACAGGAAGGACGCTCCGTCTTCCTCTCCAGGAATCATGCAGCGTTATTTTTAGTGTCTCTAAAGTCAAACAGCTCCGTGTCACATCTGAAACAGAGAAGTTTCATCCGTGACTTTATCTTGAATGAACTGTTTATAAGTTTCATCAGTGTCAGAGGCTGTTAGAGGTGTGAATATAAGAAGATAATGTTGATACGTGATGTAGAGATGTAAAGCCTCAGCTGGCTTTACTGATAATTTGCACATGTTAGCATGCTAACACGCTAAATTAGCATGATGAACATGGTGAACTTTGTACCTGCGAAACATCAGCATGTATCAGAACTTTGTGTGCTGACGTTTAACTCAAACCACAGCTGTGCCTCAGTGCAGACACACTGAGCTGCTGGAGACGCTTAGTGTTGTTTTTCTCCATTGTCTCCCGAAAAAGTGTGTGTGTGTGTGTGTGTGTGTGTGTGTGTGTGTGAACAGCTGGGTAAAGTCACTTATATGTTTCCTGAAAGTTATTTTCAGAGCTGAGTCAGAGGGGGTTTCACAGTCCTGTGGTGAATATGCGTGTGTCTCTGTACAGGACATCCACATGTGTGTGTGTGTGTGTGTGTGTGTGTGTGTGTGTTTCTATTTTACTGGTCGGACATTAAAGACGCTGTTTCGTTTGCTTTTCTCAGTGAGATTTATTTGCCAAAAGTGCTTTACGGGCAAAAGTGGGGGAAATTAAAAATTAAAAACGGATATTATGTCAGCCGAGAGGATGTGCTAGACGTAGCTGAGTAATATTATATCAAATTATTATCAAGCATTTGCATGAAACTGTTACTTAGTCAGTGGTTTGCTTAAAGAGAGTAAACTACAACAGGCGTTCAGACTGACAGAGGAGGATACATCTCAGCAGCCAATCAGAGAGCCTCCAAAGGAGACATCACAAAACCCTTTGTTGTTACTATTGTCATCATTTCTGCATTCTTGAACGTGTCAGATGTTTTACACCATCCCCTGACAATCGCAGGTTGAAGCTGAGACTTGACTCGAGGCAGAATTGTGAGGCTCACGGAGGAAGCAGCGGATAAGAGGTGTTTATATGTAGTTAGAGGATGAGTCAGCAGGAAAAAGGTTAACTTTAGTTTAGCCCCCTGGATGAAGACACTTCACAAACTCAGATCAAATACAGTAGAAGTAGAATACCGTAAAAGTCCTGCATATGTGCAGCATTAGTACTGAACGTAATACATGGTTACACAGTCTAATAAACATGAAATCTACTGCCTTACTGTCGGAGCTGCCTTTGAAATATCAGCAAAACATTTGGCCTAAAAACAGTCATCCTGAGCTGATCAGCAGGATCAAGTCTGATCAGCCTTTTTTATATAACAGCCATAAAAACCCATTCAGTCACACTCCTTTGTTTGTTTGCTCGGGTATGATAGCTGCCAGGTGAGTTCGTTAGAGCTTATTGTCGTCTGACGTTGGGGCCACACAGCCCGCATCAGCAGCTGGCTGCAGCTCATCTAGAGATTTGGAGTCTTGGCTGTTTTCTCCACATGATGTGCACAGATCACAGTAAAACTAGACAGTGAAAATGGTCTGTTGAAAGTCACATTGATGTCGTCACACCAGCACCTTTCACAGCTGATGTCTGCGTCTGTACAGTGTGTCTCAGGCATGAAAATAAATTTATTTTTAGCTTTACAGTTCTTGTTTGTGTTGCAGTGTGAAGCCCTCCGATGTGTCTGTGGACAGAGTCACTTTATTTGTTAACACAAGGCTTTTATTGTGAAATATTGATGGACATTATTGTGGAGCTACATTTGTTTTTTATTATTCAGAGTAGGTTTTGCAATCAAAAAAAAGATTTGAGAGCAAAAGTATCAATATTGCAAGTAAAAAATGATTGAGTAAACAATGCAAATCCAGAAGTTTTGTTTGTGAGTCTGTTTTTTTTTTCGTTTGCAAGTCAAAAAGTTTTGCGAGTAAAAAGTTGAACCTGGTGGGCGGGGCCTAAACTGAAAGCTGTAAGACACGTCTCTATTGGCCAGTCTCGATCAGAACGACAGCTTGCAAAGCAACATGGGAGTTCTGTAGTTCACGGGGAAGTCAGTGCGGGAGCTGTGGCGAAAATCAATGAGCAGGTACGTTTATACACAACTAATAGCAGTAAGAATGTTTTATTTCAGGGTGTCCGCGGGGTCTTAAAAAGTATTAAAAGTTGATAAATCAAATGTCGGAAAATTAAGGCCATTAAAAAGTATTAAAAAGTCTTAATCGCGATTTTATGAAGTATTAAATTTTCTTGGCATTCAAGCTTTGACAAAAAGTATCCATGAATGTATAATTTATTTTCCTACTCGCGACTATTACAAACAACGATGTGTAGGTAGACACATTCGGACTGCCATCGGGTGTGTGGGGGGGTGCTGAGCGAAAAAAAAAGTCCAAAAAAGTTAATAACTTACAATTTATGGCGAAAGGGTAGTTTCTTGCAACTCTAGAATTAAGATAAAAATATTCACAAACGAAAAAGCACTTCTGGTTGCTGATAAGTAGTGTTTAACTTTTGATTTAACACTAAAAATTAAAACCCTCGGCACACACTGCAGCGCAAGCAGACAGATGCGCGACTCAGAGCAGCATGTGTCACTGACACCAGACTCAGAGCGCAGCGGACTGGTGGAAAATGTCACCATCAGCATATTATCTTACATCAATAAAATCCATTTTATCATTATTTTGAGTCACATTGTTGAAAGAATTTAGTCGTCTGTGTTCAAGCAGGATAATAGGTCTCCATTCATTGCACGTCTGGCTTTCTATTTCCTTGTTGGAGATGTTTTCTTTTTTAATTACATGATAGCTATTCTCCCTTAACTCACCAGTAAAGAATACCTTTGTCCATTTCAGATAACCCGTGGCAATAATAATATCCCTGTTTACAGATTTACTGTGAAACCTTTTTAGGAAATTCATGCAACAGTCAGACCAGATGACTTATTTACTCGGCCTAATGGGGCCGGCCTTTATTTGTCAGCCAACCAAAACCAATCAGTTAAAAACACAAACTGGAACTGGAACATGAAATCTTACATGCCTAACAGACATTGCTTCTCGTTCTTTGAGTTTACATATGGCTAAAGGGGAAAAAACAACCGTAAACGGACGGCATGATTAGTGTTGCATTCAAGGTCCCCCCAATAAACGGGAGAAAAAAAGGCAGAATATTCAATTTCTTTTATTCACAATCGAATCCCGTGCCATCGAACGAAGCTTCGAATTTTTGGGTCAGCCCTAAATCCCACATGTAAGGGGCTAGCCATAAGGTTGTTGTTTTCAGCAAGTTGGCCTTGAATAGCTGATGTTGAGCTGTAGAGCTGTGTTTCTTGTTATGACCTAAGGTGTATTTTAATAAACCTGCCTTTGGTTTAATTTATTCTTTCAAGCTTTATTCCTTCTCATCTTATCTGAGTTCTGTAAACTACAACTGTTTAGTAAGTTAAAGATGCGTTGCTGCAAACGACAGCTTGAAGTGGCGATGAGGTCTTAAGGTTTTTTTGGAAGGTCTTAAAAAAGTCTTAAAAAGGTATTGAAATTAACCTCAGGATTCCTGCATATACCGTGTATTTGAACTGGTGCATGTAGATTGCTTTTGTTTAGCCAGGGCAGAACTATTCGACGGCGTAACTGTCAGTAGCATCGATGCCCCGGGATGTAGCAGTAACGCCGACTGTCGAGCGTTTCCAGTGGGAGAGAGGGAATTGTGGGTGTAGCCCGCTCTGTATGGAGCCACGTCAAACCCACCAGTAGAAACTATTCTCTCATCCATCAGCATAGGGCCCCGCCCATTAAGTGCAGTTGAACTCACAAGCAAAACTTTAACTCGCAAGCAAAGAGGACTGATTTATACGCAAAATGATCTCATGTTTTTACTTACAAACTTGATTTTTGATTGCAGTTCAAGAAATATGCTCTCAAAACAGTTTTATATGATTGCAACAAAAAGACCTCCGTACACTAAAGGCAAACTCCATCCATCCATTTTCCACTCACATATCAGGAGCCTGGTCGCAGCTATTTTTGGGGTTTGCAGTGTCATTTTGTCGGCACTGCAAACTTAGACTCACTGCCTACAAATGTACCTTGATTACATCTTGCATGACAGGCATCATGGTGTTAAAAAAATTACAACCCACAAAAGAGATGGAGTGGACGCGTTCATGTAGCTCCTCTCTACTCTTCCATCCACTCAAAGTGCTTTCACACTTGTTGTCACATTCAGCCTGGTGGCCGAGGCCACCATACAAGAAGCCACTTGCTACGCAGTTAACCTTTCACACACACTCGCATGATGTACACTGTAGAAGCCGCTCTACCCTGCTTTTTCGATTTAGTTTGTGTGTATGTTTGTTTGCATTTCTGCACTCACGTGTAAATACATGCAGGAAAAAGGAAGTGTTGATATATGGTGATGTTTTTTTCCCCGTGTTGCTCTCTTGTGTGTGTGAGCCACAGAACAAACAGCAGTAAACACTTCCTGCGTGTGAATGTGAAATCACATTATAGAACACATTTATCCTGTGATGCATTCACTGTCCCACGTCTCTCCATTTAATTTTAATGCTGCGTTGGAAGATTTGGTGCTGAAATATTCATATGTTCAGGCTCTGCTCTCTCATTCAGTTCCTCCTCATGTCTGAAACAGTCCGAAGAAATGATCATTTGTTAGAAAAATAATTTGCCTGAGTAAATTGTTTATTATATTGTTTATTTAAAAAGGACACTGACAGTTTAAAAGAACTTCTATAAATGTGCCTCGGGTTCTTTGACAGTTAGTGTTGCAACATTAATCTGAGATAACCAGTGAAAAGAGGAGGAAATGGCTTTTGAAGTGTTCATTGAAGAGTGCCATACGAGTAAGGTCACATGATCATGATTAATGGGTAGTTTCCTCCATCTGATTGCGTGAGTGATGTCTGTGTTGCAGTCGTAACCAGCTGGGCGCTCTGCCGGCCTGTCTGTGTGGTTTACCTCTGAGAGTCCTCAACGCCAGCAACAACAAGCTGGTCAGCCTGCCGGAGACCATCGGACAGCTGCACGGCCTCATGGAGCTGGTAACACTCTTTATACTCTGTGTGTGTGCGCAAGTGTGTGACAGATAACATGACTATTTTTGTGTTTGTATATCTGTATGCGAGTGTCTAATGCCTACTATACACCAGGAGACTTTAAAAAGACTTTAAAAGACTAAAGTCTGACACCCTTTAACTAAACTATAGACTATAGACTGTAAGATTTTACAAAGACTGGGGATCTTGCACGGTCACTGTTTGCAAGACTACAGCTAGATTCCTTCAGAGATTTTTTCCCGTCCTGCTCCTGGTGGAAAATATCACGCCAAACTCCCTTTACAAAATATGACATATTAAAAATTCCTTACGTGTCTGCAAAAACACATCATTCTTGAACCCCAAGATAAAAGGCGCCACACATGGACAGTATTCTTCTCAGTTCGGCATCAGTAGAATCCATAAAGATAAACTGTATTTGATACAACCTTTACATTTTGGATTTGCCATGACTTGCTGCCAACCTCCGTTGGTTAGCTTAACTATTTTACTGGAAGGAGACTGTGGGAATAAGAGGCAAACTGTTTCAAAATTAAAATTTCTCAGTAAAATAAGTACTGGTTGGTGGACCAGATTTGTACAGAATTAAACACAGACTCTTGTTCACTCCACATCTCCACCAACAAGAGAACTGAGACTTGTTCTGGTCCTTGCGCCTCCCTAGAGGGGAATTTTGCATTTTCCTAGGATAGCGAAGGTATTGACCTGCAAACAATCTCACTCCTCTTGCCTGAATTTAACCAACTCAACCAATCAAGGCAACAGGTACTAGCCAATCATAGGAAGAGGCGGGTAATGCCTTTACTATCCTAGGAAACACACAGTGCTACTCAAAGTCAAGGATGCTTCCTTGATCGGATGGTCCTTACAAGTCATATCCTACAAGGGCGAGGCAAGACTCCTTCATAGCAATGGAAAACAGTCGCAGTCACATTGGAACAGGCTAGCGAGTGCCCAGGTGTGCGTCATTGAGGAGACCCCGCCTTCACTTCTGGCTTATGGGTGCTCTGTGCCCGCTGATGATACACACATGCATCCTTCAAAATTCCCTAAAGGAAGGACTTGGTCCTTGGTAGAATTCAGTGACGTAGCCTCCTTGACATTCAGCTGTTTAAGGGTCTTTTCTTGACTTTGAGAAGCTCCAATTGATTTCCTCCCCCCAGAGTCCTCTCCATGTTTACTGTCTACTACTTGGTTGTTGATGTTCAGGTCATTGAACTTCAGTATGTGCATGAGTCAAGACTACAGTGATGAAAGAAGATTAAGATCATTTGTACCCACATTTTACTGCAACAATACTCTGTTACAGCTTGTTTTCACTTTACTAAAAGTAAAAATATGACAGTATTAACTTGAGTTGTTTTTTTTTCTGCAGGACATCAGCTGCAATGAGATCACGGCTCTTCCTCGTCACATCGGCAGACTCAAAGCTTTGCGAGAACTAAACGTACGTCGGAACCTTCTCTGCGTCCTGCCAGAAGGTGAGTCTGTGACAGAAGTGCAGAAATCTCTCTCCACGTTGAATCCAAAGATCCTGTTTGTCCTTTTTTTTTTTTTTTATATCTGACAAAATGTGTAGGGTCTCGCCTTTATGGATTTTTATTTCTGTCTTTATTCAAGAGCATGGTTTTTACCACTTGAGAGCAAATGAATGATTTCACTTTCAGATTTCTTTCTGTCCCTCAAAATCCTGCCCTTTGGGGTGCTGAGTAGCTCACCCGGTAGAGCAGGCACCCCGTGTACAAAGGCTACGTGCATGCTGCAGTGTCCGCAGGTTAGATTCTGACCTGCAGCCCTTTGCTGCATGTCAGCTGCTCTCAATTCCCCTTTCACACTACCACCATCCTATCAAATAAAGGCCAAAAAGCCCAAAGAATAATCTTAAAAACCCTCCGCTTTACCAGCTAGTTTGAACCCTGCTGCTTTAACTCATTGCTGAGTCATGAAGGTGACGTTGTTTTGACTCCAGCACTCTGACAGGAGGTTAATGTGCTGTACAGCTACTATTATACTGAATGTAGCTGAATATTACTGTGAAAAAAAAAGTACAAGTGTTGGGATGTTTAGTCACAGTCCTTTTCTGCCAAAAGTCAAAAGGAAAGCAAGGGAAGTACATTTGATAAAGCTGTGGAGATCATAAGTGGATCAACCTGTTTAAAGAGTAACCACACATACAGGATACTCTTAGAAGTAAAGTGAACGCACCTGCATCAAAGCAAGGATCATTTCATCCGTCAACACTACACCTGGTATTATTTTGGTTGGGGTATTTTGGCAGGTTTGATGCACAAAAAAGTCCAAGAGCAGAGACCTGACAGCACTCGATTCATGAGTGCACAGAGGGAGCCTGGGTGTGGGGAGTAGATTTCAAGGAAAGGCACAGGAAATCTTTAAAAGCAGCAGGACATCTGAGGGAAAGCATTCAGTTTGAGCAGAAGCAGAGCAAATATTAGTGCAAGCAGCGGCTATCTGAGTGCGAGGGCGGGGTTTGAAGGGAAGAAAACAAAACCTGTAAGTAAAATGAATGAGTCCTGCTCTCAAATTGAAAAACCAGGCTCTTAAATAAAGATAGGAACAAGACTCTGTATCTTAGAGTTTAGTTTAGACAAAGCTGCCCTTCATGTTCTCTTGAAGTGGGATTTAGATCCAATAAAGTCCGACGTCTTCTGTGTGACGCTGATCCTGACCAGACGAGGTTTGTGCACTTTAAGGAGGCACTTTGAGCCACTGCTATTACTTTTATTGATTGTTATTGAAGAGTGGAGTGTGGCCTAGCATCTGATTTACATTTAGACATCATCTATATATAAGACAGGGAGGCACATGTGAGACCACAGAGTCCTCTGTATGCACAGCCACACCCATCCCAGTCCCCAAAAATACACTTAACCCTCAGTGTGACCGAAGAGCAACCTCCAGAGATCAGTAACAGCCACAGCGCTCCCCGGAGACACCACCCAGTGTGACTGCTGATAGGCTGAGAGTCTGGAGACAGGCAGGCTGCTGATTGGAGGGCTGCCAGTTTAAATCAACACACCAACTGGAACAACTGGGAGAGTTTGTGCTATCAGTGCCTGTTGATCCAACATAATGGGAATCTCTTTCTCCTCTGAACCGTTTATTCGATCACAGCTACAACTAACATCTTCTTATCTGCCCACACTGTGTCTATAAAATGTCAGAAGTTAGAGAATTATGTCTAAAGCTTCCCAGAGTCCAACGTGATGTTTTTAAATGTCTTGTTTAGTCTGACCAACAATCCAAATCTTAAAGATAATAATTTTATAATAGGATCAGAATGAGATAAACCAGCAGATATTTATATTTGAGAAGAGAATTTGGCTCTAAAAATAACTCCCAACGATTGAATGATTATTGAAGTTCATTCCTTTTCTTTCATTTTACACAGTACTGAAGACGTTTTTTCGTGGTTGGTGTTAAATGATGGAGGACAGTGTCCCAAAGGATCTGCAGAATATAAGGGATCTCTGATTGATCGGCCTCTAATCGTCAGTGGCCAATATTTGTTGTAAATAGTTGGATCGATAGACTCTCTAAAGGGCAATCAGAAGAGATGAAATATTATAGCGTAGTTGGCAAATATTTTTTTTTATCTTTAATCTAATCCAGTGAGGCTAATTTATGTATCAGAACTTAAAATCAAAGTGAGAGGTTGTATAAAAATTTCATGTAGACAATTTTTTCTACACAACTACAAATAATTTCTCCACATTTCCCAACGTGCCATTTCTCTAGCAGTGTTTGACAGGTTTAGGGGCTGATTTACGAGCACAAGCTTATTTATCAGCATTTCAATTCAATTCAATTTCAGTTTTATTTATAAAGCCCAATATCACAAATCACAATTTGCCATATATAGAGTAAATAGGATTGGTCCGAGCACAGAACCTTGCGGAACGCCAAAACAAACTTTAGTACGTAAGGATGATTCATAATGAAAGTGAACAAACTGAAAACAATCAGATAAATAAGATTTAAACCAGCTTAGTACAGAACCTTTTAGGCCAATTAAATGTTCCAGTCTCTGTAGCAGAATTTGATGGTCAGATGGTCATTTGAAAAGATGTTAAGACCAGCAGCCAGTTGCTTCTTGCACTGCTGCCGTTCAGCGGCTAACAAGTGGAGCTAACTGCTAACAGCCATCGCTGCAACTAACTAAACTCAGCAGCTCCACCATCCACAGTCGGACACACATGGCTGATTATTTACTAGCTCACAACTTGCACCAATGGCTGACGCTGCTCCAGTGTGAGTGTTTTTGCTGGCTAGTGAAACATCCTGGTGCTCATGTGGCATTTGAAGATAGTTGTAAGCACGGCTGTTCTCGGATTTCAGTGTCCGATAGTCCATTGCAAACATTTTTGTAACGTCTCGTCAACCACAACGAAACATAGATTTTGTCTTAGTTTCTATTATCGAGATCTTTTTTTGCTCGTCATCGTCTTGTTTTCGTCATGGAAAAAAGGTTGCTGACAAGAAATTGTTGTTGTTTCGTCAACTAAATGAACACTGTCAAATAGACCCAAGATTGGTTGTCGGTATCAGCTGATACAGCGTTGAGGTCCTGATTGGAGTTTTATATATTAGATTATTTTGGAGAGTTAAACATGGAAATCGGGATCTTTAAAAATTCCAAACTTCCCCCCTGGAGAAAGCTGGGAGGGGGTTGATTGGCACAAAACAACTGCCTGGTCTGAACCAGAGTGGTGCTTGTTATTGGACCTCCTCTGTTGTCAGTTCACCTGCTGTCTGAACACCTGTAATGAATTCTGCTGCTGCATCCTGAACCTGCTGATGCACACTGAGAAGATCAACTTTGAAATGTTGACTCTGATGTTTGACCCCAGTTTTCTTCTTTCCTGGTGAAATGTAGCAGGTTAAACAGATGTGAACCCCAAACACTGCTCAGACATGAAGACATATTTATGATGCCTGTAAAGAGGCTGAAGCATTAGAACAGTTTTGTCCAGCATGGTGGAGGGTTGGTGATAAACAGGCTGAGAGACGTGGAGTCAGGCCTGTTGATTCTCAGTCTGAATGATGAGCGGGTGCAGACTGTTTTCTGGATGATTCATCCAGCTTTATCGCTGCTCCTCGACTCGTCAACTCTATTTGGATTTATTGCTGTATCTTCCCAACTCGACATATGCTTGTCACTATTACAGCCATCTCCCGCTTTGATTGATGAGTTCTGATCTGGCTTGGCGGCCTGATGCCACAGCGACAGGGAGGCTTGGACGGAGCAGACTGGACGGCAGCCTGACAAAGGGAGGGATGTTGTTCTTGATTTAATATCTGTTGAACTTGTGCAGACTTCATCGCTGCAGCAGAGATAATGCCCCTGAGATAAGACCACCGTGACTGCTTTAGTGGTTTTTAAAGGTCGGCCAAGCTTGGGGGGGGGTTCACACTCAATCTGAGGATCAGATCTGCAGACCTGATGGAAAAATGTTCCTCAGAGCCAGAAACATCGCCATGGCTGCAAGATGCTCCGCTTAAAACAATGGCTGCACAAATAATACAAGAACAGGCTGAAATATGATGTGTTAGCGTTTAGCTGAGCAGCCTCAGAGCTTCACCTTTATCCAGTACTACAACAGTCCAGTGTCTCTGAGTCTTTGTGACTAAATGTTTGTCCTCAGTGACCTCATAGAAACATTAAACATGTTTTTGTATATAATTCAGTCCAGGATGTATTTTTATCCCGTAACCAGAGGAATGTTCTCTGGTGTCGGCCCCCTCTCCATCATGGCAGTGCAGCTGACATTATTACCGCCTACGAGAGGTTTTAATTATGAGCGACTGTCAGGACGAGTCTGTAATAATCGCGCTGTCAGGACTGATGGGATGCATCACTGACAGTCTGCAGGATGTGACTCCCTGAACGGTTTCTTCCCAGAAACCTACACATCAGTCTGCACTGTTTTTCTTTCGCCTTAGTCTGAGGACTCATGTAAACACTTACACACACACAGCAAAGTATTTTTAGAGTGCCTGAAAAAAACAGGAATGAAAAAAACTTGTGTTTTACAGTGTGGGCACGAGACAGTTACACATTAAAGGAGCAGTACACACAAAATCTGTTTCAGTCCTCCACTCTGCCAGAAAGATTAAAACATTAAGATGTGTCAGTCCTCCTCTTTATATACCAGAGTAACTGGTACAAACAGCACAGTGCTCATGTAGATAACATCTGTTGTAAAGTGGACTTTCTACAACCTAAAGCATCAAAGATATATTCAGACATGTAGAGGAGTCTTCCTCAGTGAGTCTCTGAGGCAGCAGATTAGTAACTTTTGAACAGCAGTGTATATAAAGATTCTCTCCCTCTGTGTGTGTGTGTGTGTCTCATGTGGCCTCAGCGGGTCACTGCGGTTCACTCCGCACAGGATTATTTTTAACCTCTGGGCAGAGGAGATCAGAGAGCTCTGAGGGTTCACGAGGGTCAGGTCTGTCCGTCTCTGATGCATTCTGGGTTGTAATAGTCACAGAGCAGCTCTCTGCTGAGTCAGTCAGTAGCTCTGTAGTAAAGCATCACACGCTGAATCATTCATCATCTCAACAATGAATTTAAAATTGAATTTTAGTGTCTGATCCATTGACCCTGATCGCACTCCGTCTATTCTCAGTCATGATACAAAGACATTTTTCCAAATTAAATATCTGTAAGTGTTTGTGGATAGAAGTCCGTAAAGAGAACTCCTGATAACTTCACATCTTGCCTCATAATTATTATGTTTATTCTTTCTTCAGTATCAGTTTATTCCAGTGACTGATGTCTGTTTTCATGGTGAAAGTGCAAACACATTACAAGCTTATAGCTAATGTGGCGTGACTTTTCATGTTGCAAATTAGTCTGAACACAGAACAGTCTGTTGCCCACAGCTAGCTCACGGATTATTACAAATACATGTCTTTTACGTTAATATGAGCTGTTTTATTGTTCTGTAAATACATTTTTGACATTATAAAGGTTGTCAATTGATGCAGTTCTTATAATCCATTAACACTGATAAAGATTTTTATCTGTTTGGAATTTTTATTTTTCCTGAAACTATCCCAGGACCTGTAGAGTTCACACTGGACACGAAAATGCTGCCAACTGTGTCAATGCTTGCATGGACGCTTGACAGGGTTCTTTCAGTGCCCATGTTAAGCAATTGGGCTGTTCACACAGGAAGCAGGCACCAAGCTCTGTGACCGCCCGTCAGTCTGCAGCGATAGTTACACTGTCTGGTCTATTTTTTCCGCGAGCGATTCTGACATGAAAACACACCAATAATCTACTCTGAACAAAATAAGGGATGTGATATAAATGATCTGATGTGAAATGATAATATACGCATCCTGTGATTCCACATATTTGTCAGTTGTGTCTAAACAGAGAGTGAGAGAGACAAGTGGACACACATAGACACACAAGCAAACCACAGACTGTACATAAAGATGGACGACGCAACCCCGTTTAATTTCACTGCACAAAAAAGAAGCCAAAATATCTAGGATACAGTTGCTGCCATCCTGCGCTGGTGATGTCATTAGGAGCCAGAGTCTGCGCATAGCTGTCTCAGCTGGTTCGGAGTTCCCACCCATACACCTGACTAAACATCAAATTATTAACTATAACCAAACTTATCAGAAAACCAACACTTGAACAAACATCAGTGCGATAAGAACTACCTTAAATGTCAGAATTCATCACTGGAGAAAATTTATTTGACGTGTACTTTGAGTTTAATGTTTGGCTTGTGTCCCTTCCACTCACATGGTAAGGGTGGGGTTTATGACCAGCCATCAGGGGGCGATTAAGTTGTTGTGGCTTCACTTTTGGGGAGCTGTCATCTCGTCCATCTTTATGTACAGTCTAAGAAGCAAATAGAGACAGAACTGTCTTCATGTGATTAGAAACAAGCATACGAGCAGAATTGCTTGCTGACCAGTGTGGAGAAATACGTCTCTGTGTGAACGACCAGGCAACAGATGGGGCTCTTTGTGTCCAGTGTCCCGGGTCCTGCTTTTTGATAAACAGACAGATATGAGATATTAAAGGTCCTTTGAAACACTGTCATTACTTATTTTTGCACCTTGTGGGTCTTGTTACTGGTGCAGCAGCCTGAGGTCACTGCTGGAGACGTCTCTCCTGTGTCATGTGCTGAACGTCACTAACTCTACATGCGTGTTTCTCACAGCTCGAGGTTAAAACACGTAAAACAAAAAGGTACATTTTCAGCATTCGTGTTCAATGTGACTTTTTTAGTGAAATCAAACTTCAACCTTCTTCTCACCTTTTTACCTTATGTTTTATAGCCCCCAGTACTGTAGTGCATGTGCACGTCTGCAGGCTCCTACAGTGACTGTAACTCTCAGGCTGCGTTCACCTTGAATATTAAACACTCTCTTTGTTAGATTGCAGCTCAGAGACTTTATTTAAGCGCAGCAACAACATTCAAAGAAGGCGTTTATTTTCAGGTATTTCAGTTCTAATGATGAATAAAGTTCACACGAAGAAAAACACTGAAACTCGTCTGCTAACAATTATAAACCTCCTCTGAACACAACAACAGCTGCATTGTTCTGTGTGATGGGAAACATGTCGGTGGTTTCAGCTCTGAGTGTGTGTGTGTGTGTATTTGTAAAATTCAGCAACAGATTCTTTTATTAGTCATGTAGCTCATATGTGTTTCACGACTCCCTGAAAGTTTTAGAATATATTTTAGACGGTGTTACTCAGCTTGTTTTCACTCGTCAGGAATTAATTTCCTCTGCAGCAGAAAAACATGTTACACAAACCATCAGAGAGTCACGCAGTTAAACTGGGCTTCATAAAAACTTTCACACAGGGCTGTCGAACATACGGACTGTGGGCCAGAACCATCTCGTCAAAGGGTCCAGTCCGACCCACTGGAACACTTTGCACACCTAGTACTCACCCTGATGAGAATACAGGTCTCTGAAAAACGCTGAATACTTATTGTGGCTTTTTATCTATTTGCTGTTGAATGATTGAGGTCTTCCTAACTGTGGTGTTAAAAGTATGTTTCTTTCATATTCTGATTATTCTGAAGAATTAAAAGTTCATTGCTCTTTGAAAGGGTGTGCTTACATTATTACACTATTCAGTAAAACAAACGGAACAATTTGGAGGTGCTGTGTTGTTATTTATAGGTTATTATGAACTGGTCACCGGCCCACTTGCGATTAAATTGAGCTGCGTGTGGCCAGTGACCTCAAATAAGTTCAACACCCCTACTTAAATAAATCTGCTGTTGTGGATACCTGAAAGAACATTTCAAGTCTTTGAATATAATATCACCACCATGTTTTTAGAACTGTGTGTCTAAAAGGTTAAATTAAATCCAAAAACTCACATGAAGGAGACAAACAGAGATGTTTACCTGACTGATTTGTGTGTGTGTGTGTGTGTGTGTGTGTGTGTGTGTGTGTGTGTGTTGTTCCTGCAGACCTGGCCGGACTTCCTCTGGTGAAGTTTGACTTCTCCTGTAACAAGGTGTCGACCATCCCGGTGTGTTACAGGAAGATGAAACAGCTCCAGTCCCTCCAGTTAGAGAACAACCCACTGCAGAGTCCACCTGCACAGGTACACACATGCACACACACATGCACACACATGCACATGACACATGTTGAAAAGTATGAAGGGCTCTGATGTTCAGCTTCTCAGTACGATGATGCAGATTATTGAGTTATTAACATTATTTACATTCTTCAGTTCCTCTGATTTATCAACATGAATTAAAGCTAATCTTTTCACCCTAATATGTTGATATGTAATCTAATATAGAGCCTGTTTTTATAATAATATAATTTGGAATAATCTGCTTGTTACACAATAATAAACTCATGTTATGGAAAACTGGACTGTGCAGTGCAGACAGCACGTTAAAAGACAAAATAATTCCCGCGTCTCAGCACTTCGTCGTTACTGAAACGACTCAATATAATCTGATCTGGATCTACAAATTTCTGTTCTAGTTTGAAGTTTTACAGTACACAGTTTTGCCTGTTGCTTAAAATATGCTCATAAAAATCCCAAAACATGTCTGGCGTTACAGAAAATAAGTTCCTTGTATTCTTGTATTGCTAATTTAAAATCAAGTGTTGCACTCGGGGACCGATGAAACATCACCAGTATCACATTTGGCTAGTTGCGGCGGGAATGTCTAACAAGCAAATGAAGACACCAAGTGCTCGCAGTTTGCTTTGCCACAAACGCCTTGAAAGTGCATGTTTAATAACATATAGAATACATTGTAAAGAGAGGCAGAGCGTAGCTGCGCTGGATGTTGGCTCTGCACCCAAACATTTGATGGTGGTGTGATGGGGGAAGCAGGAGTTATGCCCTTTCTCTATCATTTTCATATTGAGACAACATGATCGATATCTCTCTTGTGTCTGTACGTCCAGTGGCTAGGTCTCAGCGGTTAGCATTGCGGCTTAGCTTAGCGAATACAATTGAAGTCTATAGGGGGTCAGTAGCCTACTCAGTAAAAGTGAACAAATAAACGTTACAGAAACCCTGAAGCTGGCATTTCTGCACGTGCATTTAAAATCAACATGTTTAAACATTAATTCGAAAAACAAGAGTCCTTTTTAGTCGTTTTATAAGAAGTTTGATACATGAACTATAGTGTGTTTACGCCCTGCGCGGAGGGATACACCGGTGAGCAACAGCTGCAGCTGGCTCTGGGACAGGTACGCTAGGTCACTCGGTAAAAGCAAACAAAGAGACGACACGGACGATATTACTCACTCGACTGAAAGCTGTCCATCAGCTCCTGCAGGCCTGGGGCGTTGTTTCCAGTTAGTGATTGCCGCAAAGTTTTCACTCCTTGTGATGCACTCTCTGCGGAGGTATTCCTCCTGATGATGATGATATATCTCCCCAACGATGGCAGCATCGAATCCCATTCTGTGCAGCAAAATGATTCCACCTCCGTAGGAATATGTTAGCTAGCCCCGCAGCTACACCACCAGTCCTCCCCTGACCTCCGTCTCCCCTTGGCCCGTTGCTGCTCTGCCGCTCCGGAGGATTCAGCCTCTCTTCTCGCCCGCTCAGCATCCAACACCGGGAGTTCCTCGTCCTTATACTCCGGCTCAAACAGGTATGGCTCTGGATCTGTGTCCGCCACAAGAAACTCTTCAAAATTACGTTCAAAGGCATTCATTGCAGCGACTATAGTCCGGAGTTATCGTTAGGCTAAATAAACAACTGAGTTTTGTTTACAGGCTACGTCTGTGCATGTGCCTGCTTACCGGTGTATCCCTCCGCAGATCACAGCGCAGGGTGTAAACACACTATAGTTACATGTATCAAACTTCTTCTAAAACGACTAAAAAGGAATCTCGTTTTTCGAATTGATGTTTAAACATGTTGATTTTAAATGCACGTGCAGAAATGCCAGCTTCAGGGTTTCTGTAACATTTATTTGTTCACTATTACTGTAGGCTACTGACCCACTATAGACTTCAATTGTATTCTCTAAGCTAAGCCACAATGCTAACCGCTGAGACCCAGCCACTGGACGTACAGACACAAAAAAGATATCGATCATGTTGTCTCACATGAAAATGATAAAGAAAGGGCATAACTCCCAAATCGTCGGAGTATTCTTTTAAAGGGAAAAGGCATAAAGGTGACCAAGGCGCAGCTCAACAGTGCCAATGTCGGCACATATTTCATGGCTGCATTACCCTTTTTCCATTGTCACTCTTGGCCACGCTGAGTCAAGCCATGCTGCACCGATTTGTGTTTCCATTGTCAGTTTAGACATGTCATGCCACACCAAGCCACACTGGAGATGGACCCTCTGTGGAGTAGGTCCCAAAGCTGTGCCACCCGCCCTCAAGTGGTTAGCAGTGACATCACACTGACCACAGCCAACCCCCGGCGACCCACTCGCTTTCAACACAGAAGCATTCCCAAAGAGCCTCATTATTTCACCCTATTATTACTAAACAGGCGTTTCGTTACCTAATTTAAACTACTTAGATAAAGTCATGGAAATGAGGTAAAAGAAAAGTTTTGAAAATTTGTTGTTAAAAATATGTGTGAACCCTGTATGAGCCCACAGTAAAAACATTATCACAACACACGGCAGACAGTCTGCTACACCTGATAACTATCAATAACACACTGCATCATAGTTTTACAGAGAGCTGAGATGAAAGTGTGTGTACTGACCTGCCTCTCCTCAGAGGCTGAGGGACACAAGACTCTGTGGGAATGTTAAACAGTGTCTGCACTACAGTGACTCAGCACTCAGGTTGATGTCTGAGTGAACACAGGTTGAAATAAGTTCCATCTCTCTGTTCCTTTCAGATCTGTATAAAAGGTAAAGTTCACATATTCAAGTATCTGAGCATCGAGGCGTGTCGCAGCGAGAAGATGCCCGACTCACTCTACCTGCCTGTCATAGAGAGACTCAGCCTATCACGGCCCACCACCGGCAGGTCAGTCACCGTGGCAACTTCAGTGTCAGACACCATCTTCCTTTCTCTCCTCCTTCATCTGTGTTTATACTGGTGTCAGCTGTTCAACCAGTGCGACTTAATGGGACTGCTGCAGAGTTCAGTTGTGGCACAAAGGCAACTGATTGCCTCATCAGTCTCTGAGCCTTCTGGCGAATGAAACAAGAGCTCCACTTTTGATTTCCCAAACAGTGGAAAGAACAGCTGCAGAGTAAACACACTAAAATGATTTCACACTCTGTTGATGAGCACATCTTTCAAAACGAACACGTCTTTATTTCACTTCAGGTGTCTGAGCGGTCTGATTGATACATCCTCTGAACCAAAATAACAGCTCCTCCTATAAATAGAGCTTTAACCTTGTCAGGAATGACATGATAAAGTCCAGGACTTGTTTCCATCGTGGTCCCTGATGTTCTACAAGACCATCCACTCCACGACAAGATAGAGACAGACACACGGTCAAAGGGGAAAACGCTCAACCATGACACAGCAGCCCACCCACAGATATACAAGCCAAATAAAAAACAACAACAATACACATGTGCACATTTCTTTTTTTAAAGAACCCGATTTCAATGTGCAGAACAACCATGACCTTATTTGGAGATGCTATCCTCTGTTTGACAATTTTCTTAAAGCCTTGTGGGTTCTGCACCTCCTTTATCACAGCAGGCAGTTTGTTCCCCTCCGTACCTCCAGCAGAGAAAAAAGAAACCTCACTCATCATGGTTTGAATCTTATTTTGAAGTCATTTCAGGCGTTTCACACATAGAGATCCACTTCATTTTCTGCAGAGACAGTGTGAAGTGACTGACTCTGACTTTTCCTGGCTGTAAAATTGTCTCAGACACCTTCTGCAAAACTGCAAAGTGTTGTTTTCAAACTTCAGGTTTTGTACAGGGAAAACAACAGTGCACAAAAATCCACCCACCCAACACCCACTAACGTGACTTTTTAATGCGATGGGAAAGATTTTAAATCACATTAACACCTGCGTGAAATGACTCTGCCGTCGCGGGTATTTATAGCCTCCATCTCCAATCGACATTGATGGGAACACAACACCCAGGTGAACGCACTAATTTTAGCTCCTTTACAGGCAAGATGCAAGGACGCAGCGTCACAAAACACAGTCCGTCTCTACCCAAGCAGAAATAAGTAACCACCATAACATGTTCACTGGCCTCTGTGCTCCTCTCTGCACTCTCTGTACTGACCTGACTGTGACGTTGAACGTGACACACCAAAGAAAGACACACACAGGAGGTCACACTCGTCTGCTGCAGAGCTGTGTACACACCGCTGATTTGCTGGCAGTGGGAAAGGAGTCTGTCGCCGATGCTAATTTTGGTCGAAAGGGGGCATCAGTGAGCTTTAGAGGAGCTGGTAGCTGGATTTTGTTTTCTTTGGACAGAGCCAGGCTGGCTGTTTCCTCTGTTTCCAGTCTTTATGCTAAACTAAGATAACTGACCTTATATGTAAGGGCTCTGACACACCAGGCCAACTGGCGGCCATTGGTCAACGTTGGGCCGTCAGTGAGCGTCTTTTGCCGTAGTTTTTGCAGTGTGTCCCGCCTTTGTTGGCCGTTTTTTTTTTTTTTTTCTTTTGGCCAATTCAGCACATTGAATCAGGAAGTGAGACCGAAACAAACTTGTTATACTGGATAATATTATGTTTTTAGCCAATTAACTCTTGAGGAGAAACAGTTCATAATTGTTTGTGTTGTCATCCGCTTGCACACTGTAAATATGCTCTGTTCTTTCAACATAGCATTTTGAATCCGTCCTGACGGTCTTCCAGTTTCCCTTTTTGAATGACAAATACAGACCACTGCCACCTGCTGCTATGGAGTTATTTCCTCTCACGCAGGCGCAGAACTTGAATGCTAGCTTTCTGTTGGCTGGAGTGTTAAAGTGCAACTTTCTGGCCGAGATACGGTGACGTGAGGTGACTCTACAGGCGGCCTTCGTCATCTGGGTCTTAACGGACAAACTCCTCATCTAACGTCTCAGCAAGACAGCAAAGAAACTTCTCAAAATGTCAAGCACTTCAATGAGTAATATCCAATCCTGGATCTCTGTATTCTGCTAACGATGAGTTGAAGCTAAATATTAAACATTCAGCAGTTTAAACCAGTTCATTCAGTTCAGATTTCTGGGTTGTTTTTTGATGAATCCAGAAGCTCTGGGGACTTTTTTTCCCCGATTTCAACAACAAAGAGTTCGGAGTTTGCTGCAGCTCTGATTTGTTCCTCCAGCTGTCTTCCTCCATAGATAGCAGATATATTGTTGGTAGTTAGAGCCAAAAGTGACCAAAATACTGCAAAAACCTTAATCAGCATCCCAGAAAATGTGATGTTATAAAAGCTGCCTTTTATTCAGTTAGAGAGAGTTTTGGGAAATAGTCTCAACTTGACATGGTGTATCCTGTGAAGTTTTTTTTAGTTTGAAGCATGTAGAGCCGCCGCACACACTGACACTGTCTGAAATCTAAAGCAGCATGTGTCACAGTGATGACACGATTAGTTTCAGGACTTTGGTGTCTTTGTACCAAACTTTCAGGACTTATATTCCTTCTAAATGCTGCCAGCTCCTCTCAGCTGAGGACATGTTACATCACATCAAAGCCCTTTATTTGGTTTGGTTTTAATGACGCTGCTCTGCGTCTCTGCTGTCTCTGATCTAAGCTTCCTCAGTTTCTCAGACTGGAGCCAAATCCTCCATTAGTCAGCTGAAAGTGATCCGGCCTGTGACTCCCTGCTGGGTCACACTGACAGACTGTCTGCCATCACACAGCTTCACCGCACAGCTCGACCATAATCCATCACTGCTGGATGAAATGTGGTTTATGATGGCTGGGTGGACGAAGGAAGGGAGATACAAGCAGTAGAGGAAATGAGGAGGAAATAACAGAATGAAACAAAGGAGGGGTCACATGAGAAGTGTTATGAATGGAGGAATGAAGGAGTGAATCCAGCTGAACTGTAACAGGAAGAGATGGAGGAGAGAAGCTTTAAAGACAAATGCAGAATCGAAATGCTGTAGAAATGTGAGGAGTGGAGGGATGCACAAATTACAGAATAGACAAAAGAAAGAATAAATAATAACAGCAATAAACTTTAATTATACAGCAAATTTTAAAACAAAGTTAGAAGGTGCTTTACAGGTTGGATCAGAAGCAAAAACATTTCAGGACTATAATGAAATCAAATCAGACGATTACAACAACAAGTGCACATGTGCAGACCAGCCAAGGCCAGTCGTCTGGTCTTCTTTGCACATCAGCAAGCGCAGACGTGATGTATGTCTGGATATATTTGCAAAACTATTAGAATTCGGGCAAGATGTGGTTGTGCCTCGCTGAAGAAGCCTCACTATCTCAGCTGTGCTGTTATTATTGACTGTTAATGTGGAAATATTTCACATTTCTTTACAAATATCAAATGCTCAGACTGAAATAACATCATGAACACGACAGCTTGTTCTCAGAAACAGTCGTTACCAAAATCTGTTCACAAGACATTGTGACATTTTTACTCCAGTCAGATTTAAATTAATGTTTCTGATGGAGCTAATTGCAGACAGCTCACATGTGGGTGTGAGTAAAAGTGAGTATAATTAGTTGCATGATGTGTGTAAATATGTGTTTCTGCAGTCACATCAGTTTGAGAAAAAAGTGATTGTGGCAGGTTTCCCATGATACCACTGTCAGCAAGTGCTCGTTCAGAAGTTTGAGCAACGATCTCGCGATGTTAACGAAAGTGCAGTAATCCCTTTGACAAAACAATAACAAGGTAATAAACTAAGAAATGAACAAATGAAGGGAACAAAGGAGGAAAGGAAGAAAGGGATGTGCAGAGAGCCACTGGAAGGTCAAAGTGTTTCATTTGTCCAGTACTTTCATTTATGTTGAGTTTGGTTTGGTACTAACAGTGTGGGATACGCTTCACTAAGTAGGGTGAAGGATTCTCACCGATGTCCAAACAGCGACCGACAGCCAGCCGTCAGCTTGATGTGTCAGGGCCTTAATGTTGTTCTGTGGAGTCAGTTAAATGACTTTTAGGACGCATTCACACTGGAGCTATTTGGTCCGCTTTAAACGAACCCTGGTTCGCTTCCACGGATAGTACGGTTCATTTGGAGTGGTGTGAAGACTCATTCGAACTCTGGTGTGGACCAAACGGGCAAACCCTGGTCCACTTGAAAACTGGGGATCTCGGTTCACTTGGAAGTGAATCCTGGTGTGGTTTGCTTACAGTGGGAAATGCAAACAGACTATCCAGTGCATTTTGGTGTTTGGTGTTTTTGTGGTGACCAAGCCGGCTGAAGGGGATGGACTTCTGTTTTCGGTTCTGGCCAATCAATGAGCGGGGTTTTCTTTTTCCTAATGCTTATATTCTTCCTGGTCAGTGGTCGTTTCGGGCAGTACCGCCCCCAATCGAGCAGCTGTTGTAACTGCATGACGTTGTCCAGGCGGTTTGGTCCGCTTTACAAAGTGCAGTGTGAAAGTGAACCGAACCAAATGAGGGTGTGAAATTTTTCGTGAATGCTCCCCTCTGATGTTTGAGTCTAACGTTGGTTGTGGTTGCAGTCGTGTCAGTCATACAAGGAGCAGAAATCTTTGTGAATCAATGATAGAAAAAAAAATCATCACTGTTTGAAGTTACAATTAGACGTGAGATCTCCTATAGGTTTGATCTTGGAGTTAAGGCGAAGATTAGGTTAATAAACAACTTTATAGATGATGGTTTTGCTAGCTTCGCCAAAAAGTGACGAGACATCCCAATGCGAGTTGAATCAGCTGACGAGAGAGCGGATCAGGCATGAACCAAACCACTCCACTCCTGTGTATTGTGAGTCCCCAATGAAGACAAACTGGAAAATGTTTTTTGACTGGGGGGAAAAAACAAGGAAACGAGGACACAAAGGATTATAAGAATGAAGGGATGAAGGAAGAAAGAAAGCATTTTCATAAATGACAGAAGAAAGGCAGAAATGAAGAATGAGATGAAGCAGACGGAGGACAGAAAGAATAGAAAAGCCTGTAACTGAGCCTGAGCTCTCACAGGATGTTGTAATGTCCGCCCACACAAAATCCTCCCAACACGTGGGCAGGAAAAATGGTTCCTATTCTCATGGCGACACACACATACACACACAATACACACCTCCTCAATCCTTTTATTTTTATTTGGCTGTGTTTTTATTTTCCCCAGATTTTTCTTCTGTCGTTCTCTGTGGTTTTGTTTCTTTTGCTTTTCAAGTTCTTGTGTCTCAGTTATTTCCCAGGCTTTATTTTTCCCTCTGTCTTCTTTTACTGCCCAGTTTCCTTCTTCCCATCACAGTTTTTTTTCTTGCTCTATTTTTCTCTTAATTTCCTCATAAATTCTTCTCTTTTTCTTTCTGGAGAATGTTGTTCTCCCTCTCGTCTCACTGCAGAGGAAGCTGAGAGCAGATTGATGCTATTTTTAAAACTTCATTAATTCAAAGAAAGCCAGTCACACTGAGACTCAGTTTACTTTCGACCAGGATGAAGGAAGAGCCCCGCCAAAATAAAACACAATAGTCAGAGTTAAAGATCCTGTCATCACATTTTCTGTCAGAACATTACATCTGTATTATTTTGCTTTTACATCTGTCAATCAGTTCTGTGTTTTTAACAAGCAACATGAGCAGCTCACAGTCAGAGACAACAGAGACAAACCATTCACCTCGCCAGACATCAGGGTGTTTACTTGGAAAGAGTACTTACACACACTTACACGTTTATATATAATGTGTATTTCCATTGCAGGATTTGTCTTAGATATCATATAAGGTGGTATTAAAAAGGTCTTAAAAAGTCTTAAATGTATGAGACTCCGTTATATCTGTAGACACCCTGATGTGACGTTACCAGCCAGCTTGTTGAAAGATGGCTGCGCCCTGCTGGCAGAAACGTGAAGTACAATCTAGTTGTCCAGCAGGATATCAAGTTAGATTACAGTGTCATATTTTGGCTGAGGTGAAAAACAAACTACAGTCATATTATTCAGTGTTTCACCTGCTTTTTAAAATGTGCAGACAAACAGGTGGATGGTAACACACTGTGTGTCTTCTGTGTGTGTTCATCAGTCACAGTGAAAAACATGATGTCATGAAATCAGATCTGAGCAGCAAATCAGAAAGAGTGTGAACACACCGTGACAGAGAGGGAGGGAGAGCACAGTCTCTCTGTGGCTCACTTGCTCTTCAGCTCGCCCACACACACATACACACACACACACACCTCTACATTGTGTGTGTGTGTCAGGTGTGTAACCTGTGTTGTGTGTCTGCAGTGTGGAGGACATGGAGCAGCAGAAGAAGCAGGACAGCGACTCAGGAGTTGGCAGCGACAACGGAGACAAGCGACTGTCGGCTACTGAGGTACTGACACAGTGTGTGTGTGTGTGTGTGTGTGTGTGTCTGTGTGTGTATGCATGGTAGAGTGTGTGCGTGTGTGTTTGAAGCTTTTTGTGTGTCTGCACATTTGTGTAACTGTGTGTACGTGCTGTGTGTGTTTCTTTCTGTATTCCTGTTATAATAAGTGTCGACATCATTTTCATGTCCCTGTTTCTGTGTGTGTGTGTGTGTGTGTGTTGTACAGCAGCTCACTTCTCTGTTTGTAATTTATGAGATGTACGACATCATTATTTTTACACTCCTCCTGTCATTAAAGCTTAATGATGTTTAGAGGTCACTCTGTTGTAACGCTGTATCTGCAGCCTGACTTGTTCTTTTTAAATTCCTTCATCCTTTTATAGACTCCGACTGTCTGTGTGTGTTTGAGTCCTTTAATCAGTAATCAAACGTGCTCTCATTTAAATCAACATACTGTAAATATTTTATCAACCAATTTCTCCCTGTAAACAGCAACATTTTTCAACAGGGCATTTTGCAGAGTAAAAAATATAGATATGTTTTCTTTATATCACATCATTTATTACATCTCATCCAGAACTCAACCAGTGCTGAAGCTTTCAGGCTGCTGCAGGTGTTAATTATTAGAGGACTTTAAGAAACCTGATGCAAATGTATTGGTAGTTTTTATCAATAAGCAGTTGATATTAGGGCTGCAACATGTAGTCAAATTATCAAGTAGTTGATCAACAAAAAAAAGAATCAACAGCTACTATTTTATTTGGATTAATCATAATTTTTCAAACAGAAATGCCAAATATTATGTGCGTCTAACGGCTGCTGCTGCTAAGATAAATATAACTATATTTTTACAGCTCTTTAAATGAAATAAGCCATTTGAGTTTATCTCATTGTGCTGTGGGGAATTAAAATGGTAATTTTCATTATTTTATAGACAAAGTCGAGAAAAGAACCCGCAGGTTATATAATAATAAAAATAATTGTTAGTTGCTGTCTGTCATTTTTTTTTTTTTTTTTTTTGCAACATACTTAAAATGTAAAAAAGAAACCAGGTGAGATGTTTTACAGCTAAAGAACTGGCTTTATTATCAGAGATGATGGCAGCATTAATTAGAAGATAACACTGTGAAAAGTAAATACACATGAAATTAAATTATTTTAGCAGATAACTTTCACATTGTGTCAAATATTTAATGACAGCGTGGCTGCAGAGGAGTTAAGTAGCACCAGTAGATGTGAGGCTAAGAGATGTTTTAAGCTGCAGTAAACAACTAGTTTTATTTTTTATGAGTTTGTCAGTAAATAGTTTGATTAATAAATTAATTGTTTAAACTAAAAACTGTCGTAAAATTTTTTTTGAAAAAATGCCCGAATCAGTTTCCCATAGTCTTTACATGTCTTGTGTTGTCTGACTGACCCAAATTATTCAGTTTACAGTGATGTTAAACAGACAAAAGCAGCAAATCTTCACTTTACAGGAGGCTCGAACCAGACGGTGTTTGATGTTTTTTGTTTAATTAATGAGTTTAAATTATTAATTAATTATTTTTTTTGTTGTTCCGTTATTTGAATTATTTGTGTTGCAGCCGTCAGATGAAGACAGTCTGAGTCTCAACGTCCCGATGAGCCACATCACAGAGGAGGAGGGGATCAGTAAAGACGACTCCAGTGAACACATCAGCTCCCTCACAGGTACACACACACACACACACACACACACACACACAAACCAATCATCAATCATTTTCTGTCAGCTGACTTGTTGATGAGTTGTCTCACAGGGCCCGACGATATCACCTGAAATCAATGAATTAATCATCATCTGTCATAATTTGTAGTGAATCATAAACTGAGTCATATTTATTTAACATATTCAGTTGTTTACAGTTCTGTTAGATGTTTCTTTGCCTAAAACAGGAACACCTATGTTATAACCATGAGATGAATGTTATAGCTGACTGACAGGTTGTGTGTTTGGGCCTGTGGAGAGTGAGACAGATTCATTGCTGTACTTTGAAGGAGGAGATTTATCCAACACACCGATGTGACTAAAATGAGGTCAGTTAGAGTCTTAATGTCGGTTTGGTAACTTTATGATTATTATCTGATCGTTTCAGCACCAACGAGATTTATTAACTATTTAGACAAATGTTGTCAAACAGGAACAGTCGTGTTCCTCTGAATGTTTCTGTAGCTTTTCTTCTCTAACATCCAAAACCAGCCGTGTGTTTGAGTGTGTGTGTGTGTGTGTGTGAGAGAGTATCTGGGCTGTTGAACTCTATTAGCGAACAGCAGCAGCTCCCCAGACACACAGTTTAAATAGACTTCAATCAGTCTCAATCAGGTCAGCGCTGATGGAGGGTCACGTTACTGAGCCGAGCTGAGTGAAAAGACGAGATGGTCTTACAGTCTCCTATCGGTGTCGATAAAGCTTGTCAGTGTTCATATATTAGCATTTATATTATTTAAATATTTGCAGGCTTAAAGTTTTGATTTGCCCGAACATCCTATTGCGAATATTAGATATCAACAAATTCAAAATCTGCATGATGCCAAAAATATAAACAGGATTAAGGTAAGGATCATATATATGAGGTCCAGACACACCAAACCAACTTCAGAGAACTAGCGGCGAGGAACACTCCCTGCTGCATTGCCTCATGTTGCCAGACCTCAACCAAACAGTTGCACATGCGGATCGTGGAGGTAGTTACAGCGCTACATCGACATCTGTGTGATAGGGACAGCCAGCAGGACGGGAGCGACATTTTGACGTCGTGTTATGTGTGCAACCCACAGAGATAAAAGATTTAAAAAGTAGGTTGCAGCAGTTAGCAGCTAACTCAAAGAAGAACAGCAGCGACAAATTGAGAAAACAATGAGGTCCAGGAGCTCCTTACCCTCTGAGCTGAGCATCAGCCGCTATGTAAGGGCCCTGACACACCAAACTGATTTCAAAGAACTAGCGGGGACAACGGCCCCCTGCTACGTTGCCGGATGTCAAAGTGTCTTAACCAAAAAGTGTACATGAACACACCACCAAGACAACAGCTGACAGTCAACCAGCATGTATCTCCTGCGCCTATGTGAAAGGAAGTAACTCTCCACACCAGCAGAAGGCGGTCGCCTGTAATGGTCATTCAGAAAGAAAAACCTAAAGACCGTCGTGATGCTAGTTAGCTAGTTAGCACATTAGCAACACAATCCAGTGTTGAAACAGCAGAGCATATTTACTGTGCGCCAGTGACCAATAACACAAACCATCAGGAAACATTTCTGCTAAAGAGCTCAGTGGATAAAGAAAAATAATCTGACCTCATGTAACAAGTTTGTTTTGGTTTCATTTCCTCCCGGCTTTAGCTGTTTGTTACTTTGCTCACATCCGTTCCTCTTCTCGTGCGCTGAGCTGAGTTGACAGTCAGTGATTACATTCATCAACAGGCTCCGCCATCATTGATTCGCCGCCAGTGAGGGCCAGCAGTGTGGGATGCTCTGCACCAACTAGGGTGATGGACGCTCACTGATGTCCCAGCGTTGACTGACAGTCGACTTGATGTTTCAGGGCCTTGAGTGTTGTTTTGTGGAGTTGTTGTGATTTCATTCACCGATGGGCGCCGCCATCACTGGTTTAACATGCTGAAACAGCCCAAAAAAAAGACGTCAGAGGCAGACGAGGGTCAATGGTGCAGGACACACCGCACAACCTAGGGTAACAGACGCTCACCAACTTCCCAACACTGACCAGTGGCAGACCGTTAGCTTGGTGCATCAGGGCATTTAGGTGTGAAAAGATGCTGTTTGCCCCTGCGGTCTCCCTTCAGCTGTTTACAGTCCTGTAATGTTATCCTCATCGCTGGCAGTCACCATGTTTGTCAGCTCAGCTGCCTGTTGCACCAGACTGACCTCTGGTGGCGCATGGTGTGCACTACAGTACAACACATCCTCATCACAGCCTCCGCAGAATGAGGTTAATAGAAAGAGGAGCGTCCGTATTTTTGGCAGTATTGCAAATCTCCTTCACTCACTCACTACTTTCATAGAAGAGTCATTCAGTAGTTTATTCTACAGTCACACTCTGACGCATTGCATTGTGGGACAGTTGGCAGAAAGTAATCACTCATTCAGCACATAATGAACTGTATTTACTGTCCACTGTTTTATCTGTCTGTTGAAGACACTGACAGTTCATGTTTCCTCCTCTGCAGCAGACCCAAACACCGACTCAGTGCGTCTGATCGAGGAGAGCCCTACGGAAGCCCTGAAGGACCAGTTCAGCTACAGAGACTCTGCTCTCAGCACGCGCTTCGTCAACTACATCAAGGCAAGACTTCATGTTGTCATTAAAGATTGATGCAGTGAAGTGTCTTCATGAATAATGCCGCACTCAGTGAAGTCCGGTTATATAAAACTGCTCCACTTTATTCCTCTGTTGCTCCGAGCGCTCCTGAAGTCTGTGGGTTGTTTTAATGGAGCCTAAACTGTCACTTTGTGTCAGTTATTTACTTTGGGAGGTAAAAGTGGTTGTCAGCCTGAAAGCACAGCGGTTACAGAGACTGTCCTGTTATAGCTGGTTACGTCACAGTGAGCCTCTGAGTCACTGCGGAGACTCAGCTGTGACCAAATAAGGACTCAACATAAAACAAAGTGGATGACACAAAGAGCTCAGGAGCTTTGTGATGAATCAGTCAGTGGAGCTGAAGTTCTCTAACATTTTATACTTCACACCAGAGAGCTGGAGACAAAACGACAGCATCACTTGTTTCAGACAATTCTCCAAAGCGACATCTGTTGACCTAAAAGTGACAGCATCCTCTAACAAGAGGAGAAGCTTTGACTTTTGTTTTTTGGGAAGATAGGGGGAAGTGGTTTATTTAGTGGTGTTATTATAGAAGTTGGATTATAACACCAGGCTTTGGCTGGTGTAAAAAAACTTCAAACCAGTTTGATATTAAGCCAAACACTGGACCAGAGCAGTACACTGAATTTTACCAGGTGTCACACTTGACTCAGCGGCTGCTCCTGAGTTGAACATAATGACACCGTGTCCTGACAGTGAACAAGTGTCTGACTACCGTGTTACATCGGGTAGCGTCGGAGCTCTCTGTCCACATTGATATCCATAAGTACGCACTTGTGTTACGTCATGTCATCAAAATACGTAGCTAGATCAGACTGGAGACGTTACCACTTAAAAGATGATGTCGTGACATTTGCAGGAGATGACACGGCAACAGCAGGTAGCCGAGCTTGTGATTCGCAATTGTCATTTACTGAAGCTTTCAGCATACTGACAATCTTCCTCTAGTCGGCTGCCACCTTGTTGAGGTTTTTGTTGTAAAATGAGGTATTGTGTAGATTAGGGATGCACCAAAATGAAAATTTGTGGCCGAAGCCGAAGCCAGATAAAATCAAACGCTTGGCCGAATACCGTTGTTTAGTTTTTCATTAGTTTTTGCAGATGAACTCCCTCCACGGTACCAAAATTGGGACCCACAGTACGATACCAGTGAAAGTATCACGGTTCTGAGTAGTATCACGATACCACAGCGAAAATGAGGCAGATGTGCCTTTTGTCATTTATGAAAAGATAAATCACTTTTCTATAATACATCAATGATATTTCAATGGAATAAATTACTTATTGACTTATTCATACTTCAAAAACAGCATCAATGAGTGATTAACATAGGGGGGATCAAAATAAAATAAATAATAAAATAAGAATCAACCAGCCACCCTCCTCCCCTGACAAGTAAAGAACAGTCCCTAAAGTGCGGTGAGGTTTGTGGACCGTTACCTGACACAAAGAGAGAAATGTGAACGGCTCGTTTCTCCTCTGACACGTCACATACCTGTGTGCCGCCACGGCTCGGCTGTTCAGGTACTTCTGGGCAGTCATGACGCCAAGAAGAGGACATTATCGGAGCTGGACTTCTCCGTCGTCGGTAAGCCTATGGGTGCCGTATTTGACAGGAATACATTCCTGTCTGTGTCTGTGACCCCCGTTCAACCCACCACCGACGGGATTCGCTGTTTCGTTTCTGCTGCTGGTTGAAATCTGTACTCACACAGCGTGCTGAATGATTTATTTTGCTCACACAAAACTATTTTTAGTCGCAAATGCGAGTGCAGTGACAGACGGAGTAAAATATCGCCACACTGCCGGCATTTTACTCCGTCACCGCACACTGTTTGATTGCGTTATCAAAATACGCCACTATTATTCGGCCTTGTTTTTCACTTATTCCACCGAATACCGAATGTGTGTGTTTTTTGCAATATTCGGCCGAATATATTCTGTTACCGAATATTCGGTGCATCCCTAGTGTAGATAAGTGGTTCCCAAGTGGTGTGTCACAAATCACGATCCAAAAGTGTGTCGCAGACCCATTCTGAATGCACCACAAGTGATTCTCAAACTTGTCAAGTCTGTAAAAAACACTTTATTTTGAAGTACAGTGAATTTCTAGCACAGAGCTTTCATTTTACAGTGCCTTTCCTGTAGTAGAGTGAGTGACTACAGGACCGATAACTAACAGACAGCAAACTAGCTCGACAGCATGGCTGAATGAAAGTATGATGCTGTATACTGGACATTGAACTAATGACAAAGAAGAAATCTGGACCAGTTGTGAACTACTGTTGTAGATAATTCCTCATCTTAACTTTGTGAATCAGCTGTTCTCCTCCACATTGCAGAGCTTTCAAAGCCAGAGACAGATATAAATAGAAACAGGGGTCCAACAATAGTTCAGCTCACAACAGCAACGCTGTGTCACTCGCTGTTATTTAAGAAACCTGTTACGCCAAATCCAAAATGTGCCCATATTAGTGCAGTTTTAGTTTCTTGCCGCGTCTCCTCTCGTTGCCCAAAAACACCCCTCCCATCTCTTTAAATGTTCATGTTCACTGACCTCGGCTCACAGCTGGTCAGACACAAGTGGCTCCATTAGTCTGTTTAGAAATATAATATTATGTTAAACATGCTGTCATATTGCTTTTTATTAATGTAATACATGTTGGATTTAACACTGTGACACTCCCTCAGGTTTCCTTAAAATGTTCACTGAAATAAAATAAATAAAAGGTTTTCTCCTTATCTTCTTACACCTCATAATGTCTTACACTTAAGGAATCTCTTAAAGCTAGTTAAACAATTGCACAACTGACTTAAGATATGTAGAGCGCAAGCAATGGTTATCGTGGAAACTGTAGTATTTTACCTTTATGAAATCTTTCACTACAGTAAATGCCTTAACATTTTTACTTAACTAAGGAAACCTTCTCAGCGATTCTGTGCAACACCCTTAAGTCCCTCAGCTTGTTTTGTGCAACTGGCTCCAAGTTTTAAGTGATGTTTGTGAATGAACTCAGATTTAACTCATCCTCGGAGCTCCCAGGCTAAATACGTTTTGGCCTTAAAGAGTTATGATAACGAGCAGTGGTCCAGCTTTGTCCCAGTTAACCCATTCATCCCAGTGTGAGAATCATGTGCAGAGTGAAGGATGCAGATGAAGCAGAGAACGGGTTTGTTACAGTGTCCTTATTGTTGAGTTTGTGTACCAGGGGACAGCAGTAACGTCTCTGGATTCTGACCAATGTCTGAGTGAGTCTGTAGATCACTTGACAGCTGCAGCTGGTGCTGATGTGTGTGTGTTAATGTGAGTGTATATGTGTGTGTGCAGGGTCGGACAGCAGCAGACTTTGACGAGCCTCTCAGGATAGAGGAAGACGCACACTGGCAAACAGAACAAATGTAAGTTCATCTATGTCTGTTTTTTTTTTTTTACTTTTCTATTTCTGTTTTTTGTGTTCGAGCATTTTTCATTATTTCTGCTGTCGTCGTGAGTCAGACTTCACAATCAAACATGTCAACAGATAAAGAGAAAATGATAAAACCAGGAAAACTGGAACAAAGCGGAACAAGAATAGTTTCAGCATTTTAAGCAAGTTAAAGTGGATATAACCTCTTTCCTGTGTCTGACTTGTGTCCTTCTTGCTAGTTGAGTGTCACTGTGATATTTACATGTCTTCATGGTCACAGGTCAAAGGTCACAGGGGGCACAGAGCTCCACATCGACATGATCAACCAGCTGAAGGAGGCTGTGGAGCTGCTGCAGGACCCCAGCAGGTGAGAACCAGAACATCACAGATACGTCTTTTCCACTGAATTAGCTTCAGGTCTTGATCCAGCTCTGTTCATGGTTCATGGACCGTTGTAATCAAGGATGTGTCAACAGAGGGAACAATAAAATACTTTCTCCTACAGAGGTGATACATCAGTGAATTAACAAGATTTAACTGCTTAAAATCTAAAATGACCCTGAAGCTGAAAACCTTGAGTTTTTGTATTTTAACTGGCATCAAACAATCATGGAATGAGTTTATTTAATGACATGTTTCTTGTGTTTATCAGAGTGAATGCGGAGCAGGACGATCTGTCTGGAGTTCAGCTCTACCCGGTGGAGATGGTCACAGTGGAGGAGTCACTCAAGTAAGACTCTGTGTTCATTGATTTCATAATGTGGTCATGGACAATACTAATTTCTGTTTGGCTGGCAGCTGTCTGCTAAAACTGTACAACCAGTGTTTATCACTGTTCAAGTCAGTGCTCCAGCTGTATTAAACTGTAGGTAGGTAGCCAAAGCAACAGTGCTGATGTTTCAGGCTCTGTCAGCTGCTAGTGAATCTACACCTTAAACTGTCTACAAACACTTAGAAAAATCTTTAACGCATCTTTCATAGTTTGTCTTTGGTGTCAGTCCTCCATCCTCTGTCTAACTTTTCCAGGACATGCCAGGATCTTAATTCCCAGTATTCAACCCGAGTGTCACCAATCACTGACTCCTGTTTTAGATTTAAAATAAAAGTATAAACGTTAAAAGATAAACTTTTATACGTGTGTTTGTGGTGTGTTTTTGCAAATGTCTGCATGTAGGTCAACGTGTCAGATTTCTGTCTGCTGTGTCTGCAAAATGTATCTTTTATTTTTAATTCCCTATTTATCTCTCTCTTTCTCCTCAGTGGGCAGGACAGCGATGAAGGCATCACCACACCAAAGGTAAAGTGTGCAGAAACTTTTCCTAACTTTGAGTTGAGACTCACCACAAAACAACATGTTGTCGTCAGCGTACAGGATGATATTTGATTGACATCTTACTGTAACGTGAAAGTGAATAACAGCACTTATATGTTATATTGAACTCCAGTCAGGGTGATGCTTTTATCTGAAGAGACTTCCAGTGAGTTTGGTGTGAAAAGTAAAATTTTCTAGATCAACAATTTACAGACAAACAATAACAACAGTTGATCAATTTTTAGCCTATAGACGGTCCAGAAAATTACAAATGCCTGCCAACATTTAGCAGAGCCTGAAGGGATCCTCAAACTGATTCAACAAACTCAGATTTATTCAATGTTTGACCATTTCTGTCTGGTGTAGGCTTCTTCTTTCATGCTATCACTGGAGAGCGCAAAACGTAGATGTTTTGAAACCTGTACGTAGTAGATTTAATGTCAGTAGTCGCTGCTGTCAACTTAAATCAGGGATCAACGCCCCATCAGGCAAATAGGTCAGAAATCTTCTCTCGAAGTCAATTTTCACTTGCCTTGATACAAACAGTTTTATTTATTAACCATTATCAAATACCAACAAAAACTAAAGTTAAATTAAAACAGCCCAGTTTAATCTGCCTAGCTCTCAAACTTGTGGTAGTTTCGCTCACATTCTCTAAGGCTTCCAAATTAAACTCCTGTTTCCAAGTTAACTGAAATGCTCGCTTGTGCTCGTAAACTTTGTCTTTACCCGCCGCCATTTTCTTGTGAGTGCCCGATCAGTACTGCTCATATGCAACACTCAGCAGAGTTGAAAAGGGCTCAAGTTGGCGTACTCCTGAAGTACTTCCATCAAGAAAGAAGAAAGCAACAACGTGTTTAATTATTTTCAACCCTAGATTTACTCACCCAACGTGGCATCTACTTGCCCTGAGAATTCTTGTTGTTGAGCCCTGTAAATTCATTTTCCTAGACAGGCTCAGTCACGTGATAGTGATCCGTCCTGTTGTGTTTTTGTCTTTGGAAATTTAAAGCCTATAAGTATGTGAGTGATAAAGCACCTATTTAAGGTAAATTAAGCCTAAACGTTTGATGCGTTCTGTAGCAGCACATGGAGGAGGGTGGCTATGAGTTCCAGAAGAAGAGACAGATGATTCTAGAGAAGGCCAGGTTTGAGGCCCAGCTTGCATGCCGGGAGTATGAGTGGCAAATGTCAATCAAGGTAAAGGGAGCACCAAACCACTGGATGTAGGCTCTAGGGCTGCAACCGACCAATATTTCCATTATTGATTAATCTGACCATTATTTTCTCACCCTGCTCAATTTCCCAGTGTCCAAGGTGACATCCTTAAATGTTACGTTTTATCTGTCCAACAGTCCTAAAAACAAAAGCTATTAAGTTTATTATAATGTTTGACAAAGAAAAACATAAATTCAAATCAGAATCATTGTCAGTCAATTATCTATAGACTGTCTATCGACTTATCGATTAATTGAGTAATGGTTGCAGCTCTAGTAGGCTCTGTCCCGCCCCTCAGAGTGACCTGTCCTCAGTCCAGTAAACTGAGCGTCTGTTTCCTGTGTGTCTGTTTGCTGTGAGCGAATAAACCACACTGAGCTTTTACATGTGTCTCATCTCATCTGGCAGCAGGTCACACATATGAACAGGGTGAGAACATGTTTATTTATCTCTACACGTGAGTCCAAACGTTTTACCAGTCACTCTGACTTCTTGAGAAACAACACGTGTTTGAATAAAGTCGATTTTAGTAAACCGGTGGCTGGTGAATTGAGAGTTTCCTGTCTTGCATGTCAGTGTGTGAAGAGTTCATCTGCAGTGGCTGATTTGTGATGTCAGTCAGTGTCTTGTTTGTTTCATAAGCAACCAGCAATGTCTGACGATAAGATTTAAGTTCTATTCTTTATTGAGTTCATGCCAATTATAAAGTTTTGTTTTTATTGTGTCTTGTAGTCTCGTGTTTCATCCCCAAATACTGTAACTTCATGGTAAACAGTGTGTTCTCAGTGGTAACCTCATGCTGCACTGATAACTAAAAATAAAGACTCAGATCAGCATTTTGAAAAATAATTACAGCACATATAGTTGGGCATTTTAACAATAAGGTCTGTGGGGACTGACTGTACTTTTGAGCCAGCCTTGAGTGGCCATTAAAAGAACTGCAGTTCTAGGGCCCTATCTTATAGCTGCAGTGCACAGTGCAAGGTATTGGTAGTTTCAGACTGAAACCGTTGTCATTTTCATGGCCAGTGCCCATGTTGTTGAAGTACTTGTGCCCATCTGTGTGCTCATGGGCTTCTTGGTCTTAAAATGAAGTGTGGTCAGGAGCGTTGTTGCGATTTTGAGGCAGCAGACAACCATTGCAGCATTGACCAACAAAACCCTGGACTTAAGTCAGAATAATGAAGTATTTTCCTGCGATGTGAAGAGCGCATAATTCAGATAGAAAGATGCACCTACATAGGCTGGTTCACAAAGCGTGTACACTGGGTGAAAATGATCAGTCATTAATGAGGAAAATATTAATGATTTTCTGTAAAATGTGAACGTAGCAGAGAGCAGAGCAGAGCTGCTGTTCGACTCCACATGAAGGACAGTTCAAAGTTTCAGTGTCTGCGAGGGTCCTATGTGACATTAAAGTCATCATCTACCCATGTCCGTGAGGGTCTGTTTCCTCTGTCAAGTTTGTAACTTGAGTTTTTAGTTTTGCTGCTTAAATGTTGCATGATGTTTACTACAGTGACATCACTGCTCTGACTGCTTTACTCTCAGCAAGAAACTGCACACTGCTCCAATTTACCCAATCCGCCAAAAGTGTACCTGGTGCAGGCATACCTGGCTTTTAAAAGAAATGGAGATGATACTGATTGCTTGAAATCACGTTACATCCAAGAACACACTTAAGAAACTAAAATCAACCCCTTTGCGCCTTGTGCCTCACTTTGTGTCCAGATTATGCACTATTTAACTAGCAAAATGGAGTTAGAGGCACCCTAAATGCACTGGTGACATGCACTTTATGTTGTTTCAAAAGGCCCTTAAAGTTTCAATTAAGGACAGAGCCAGGCTAGCTGTTTCCCCCTGCCCCCAGTCTTTATGCTAAGCTAGGCTAACCATGTGCTAAAGCTCTGTAATTAACACATAAACATGAGATAAATGTCATTGTTCTCCTGTGATGGAAATAAAGCAAAAAACACAAACATCACAGCTCAGCAGCGTCAAACTGAGTCGTCAGTGTTTCACAGAAGCAAACAGAGTGAAGAGAGCGTAGGTTTAGAAACGAGGAGAACAACATCGCTTTGTCTCCACAGACTGCCCTAACAATGCTCCGAAGGAAACCAACAAACACAGATAAACTGTATGTCAGACTGTCAGGAGAAAACACACAAAATTAGCAGCACACACACACTGGGTGGAGGATCCAAACCAGCTGACTTCTGCATTTAAAGAAACAAAAGGACAGCAGTGAGGACAGATGGCTCTTTGTTGACCTCAGTCAGTTTGTTTTGGAGAAAGCTTAAAGAAAGTATTCTGCCATTCTGAAGTGTCTTTGAGCAAGACACTGAATCCCTTCAGCTGACTTCTGACTTCCTTCATTCCCACCTGCTGTTAACCTGTGATCTGTATCTTTACTTTACGCATCATCGTTATCTCCATTCTGCCTGCACCATGATTAAATCTTAATGTTTATGAGGAAGAGCTGGCGGATTTACCAACAGCTGTATCGGCTCTACTTGTTCCTTTGCAGAGGAACTAGTCTGAGGATTTCCCTGCAGGATCATTTTTAAATGAACTTCAATCACACAGATTTGCAAAAATCTTTACCACTTAAATCCTGAAGGAGTCTCTTAACGAGTGCTGACTCTGAATCAGTCTGCTGCTTATAGAAGCTGAATGATGCTTAAAGACAGACGGAGGATACAGTGAAGTGCTGCTGTCTGTGAGACAAGTTGGTGGTTAACTTTAGGTCCCTGAACTCATCACATGTGTTTCTATGTTCTTATTTCTCTGTGGAGTCGTTTGTTATTTTGTGTGTCTTTGCAAACATCTTCCACATGAAGCACAGGACTCAGAATATCCAGCATCTGTTCAATTAGTATACTTGCATTCATTGTGTGTTGATGAGACTGAGGCCTTAAACACCTTGATTTCATTTCTGTTGCTGCAGCGACATGACAGATCTCCAGCCGGCGGACCTCCATCCTTCTCCAGCCCTGTGTTTGGACTGAAGCCCCGATCAGGTGAGTGGATCTGGGATGAGAGGGCGGGTCAGATACCTGGAGTACCAGAACCACAGGTTGATTCACTGAACAGTGTGACTGTGAGAACAGTGTGTAGCTCCAGTTGGATTGTGGTGCTTTGCTGTACCTGTTGAAATGACCTGAGGGACGTCTGGGAAAAAATCTTGATGTGATTTTAATCAGCATTTCAATCTAAGCAGCAGAAAATAACTGATAACTGTTTAAGATTTATGAGTGATGGAATATGAGGTTGCAGAAAATGGAAATACTCAAGTAAAGTCCACATACCTCAGAACTGTACTTAAAGCTGGTGAAGGCAGAAATCTGGAAAAACCAAAACAGAAAAAAGCAGACTTTGGAAATACACCCTCCTCTCTGTCCTAAGCCCCTCCCACCAGACAAACAGGCATTTGCATGCGCTTTATACAGTAACCTAGTGTTTCCCATACACTGATTTTTTTTATCCTCTTTCATGTACACAGCTCAGTCTTTCAGCTCCTCCTTGCCCCACTCTCTCTCTCAATGAGACCACAAATGAGACATGAACTAGCTGCTAGCCACCCCACAGTCCCTCCACCTTGTACCCCGCCACTGTAGAGTGCTTCCCCGGGAGGAGAGCAGGCAGCAGCTCGGGAGACAGACCTTCAGTCGGCCACTGTAGCAGCTCAAGTTTGGCCGGCACAAACCCCCTAGTGCGTGGTGTCACGGCAGGCTGGTGGCTATCAGCAGCACCTAGTCTAACCTTTGTAACAGCAGCAACAGAAAGTTTGCTGATCCGGCAGGAAGTGTGTGGTCTGTTGGAGCTGGGCTTTGAGCTAGCTGGGTGCTCTCCTCCTGGCAAGGTGGTCTGTAGAGACAGGGTGTGAGTTGGAGGACACACCGTGATTCAAGGTTCTAACTAACGTTTGCTATTTAAATGTGAACCTGAAGCCACAGTCGTGAGCCTTTAGCTGTGTTTACACCACAGCGACAGGCTACAAGCTCTTGTCAACGGAAGCCATTAACATGTAGGTGCAAACTGACACCTGACATCTGTCGCTGTTGACAGGCGCGAAGGGCTAGAAATCGAAGCTGAGCCAGATTCGGATTTCTTTCAGCTCTCCAGTGACACAGTTAAATGTAAACCAGTCATATGTTTTTGTTTCTAGCTGTTGTACTGGTTTTTTTTTTAGCTTTGTTAGCTGACACTATGCTAGCCTTATGTACATTGCAGTGCACATGGAGATGCTCCGGTTAGCAGAAGCCAAACTGTTAGCAACATTTTCTCTCCATCTCTGAAGTGCTTTGCCGTTATTGACACGTGTTTTATTTAGTTTAGTTTAAAGTTATTATAGGATTTTTTTTAACAATGACACCAAAGTAAAACAGCCTTCACCAGCTTTAATTACTTTAGTTACTCTCCATCAGTGGCCTTTAAATGTCACTAAGAAGATTCCCTACCAATCAGTGTACTTGCATTTTTTAACACATTTAATGAAGCACCTGATAAGTGTCTTTGATGATCCAAAGAAAGGACTGTGATATGAACGTGACCCTCCAGGATCAGAGCCAGTTGAACACTATAACATTACATGTGTGCCAACATTCAGGATCAGCAGTCGTGTTTAAAGCAGCTTCATGGTCACTGCTCGTCTGCTCTGTCTGTAGAATCATAGCAAACTTCAGTCCCATGCTTTTTACTTTTTCTTTTGTAGAGCTAGCAACCATCCAGCCTCTGTTTGCTAACTGTTACAGTGTGTGAAATGTTGCTAACTGCTGATGAAGCTAACATGATGCTAACAGCATGTGGAGGTGATCTGTACTGTGAACTGCCACTAATCTTTATTTTGTTTTTGTGCTGTTTTGTGTTGTCGTCTCCCCTTTTACACGTCTTCCTCCTCTGATGTTTTTCATGTCTCCTGTCACTGATCTGCTGCATGACTTTAAATGTTGAAATCATCTAATCTGACCTTCCTGCATGTGCGTCTCTTGTATCGATATCTGCCTCCTGTCGACCTCCCTGTTTTTATTCTTCAACAAACAACGTTTTCGGGACCTGTCTCCCGGTGATGTCGGTGTTTTCGGGGTGGTGTTTTTTCGTGGAATGATCTTTGCCTTGCTGTACTTGATTCACCATTGGTGCCCCACCTTCCTGCACTACACACTTCCACGCCCACTTTCTGCGTCTTCCTGACCACTCCCACCTCCTGGTTGTAGCCCCGCCCTCGCTGCCCTGCTCGCCCCCTCCTTCCTGTCTCGCCCCCTCCCTCCTCTCACAGGCCTCGCCCCTCCATAGAGATACACCTCGTAGCCATGACGACGGAGGCATGCACAGACGCGGTAGGTCCTCCCTCTTTAAACTAACCAGCCTTGGAGGCTGATCACATGAGTCGGATCACCTGGGCTCAGGTGTCTGATGACAGCTTCTCTTTCTCCACCAACACTCTGGGATTTTTTAGATTCAGAGTCTATCGCTCATTTCTTTGTGTCATCAGGTAGAAAGTTTTTCACCTGTTTGTTTTTTCTCTGTCTAACCTTTGTTTTCTTTGACGACCAGTTTCTTCAGCCACTTAAAGGAATGATTTGGGAAACATTTTGGGAAATACACTCATTTGCTTTCTTGTTGAGAATTAGATGTTCAGATTGATGCCACTCTCAAAGCAAATAATAGAACAGCTAGAATGGTCTGAGATCAGAAAATTACATCACGTCACTGTGATGCAGCCTTTAAAACCAGGAAACACTCAGAATATCTAAGTGTTTCCTGGTTCTAAGACAAAATCTAAGAAGATTTTATGGTTTCAGTGGCTTTGTCGTTTTAACTCCTCCATGATATTCCAACAATCTTCACATAGAGACTTGAAGAGTCTCTGGTCACTTACAGAGTTACAGTGATTGGTTGTGGGTTCATTTCTGTCACCATGGTGACTCACCAGCACCTTCCTCTGGCGTGAACTGACAGCACGACAAGTTTGATTTCATTTGGAGTCGACTGCCGCTGTGTTTTCTCTGCCTCAGACCACATGTTGGGGTGTATTAGATTACTAGTGTGTGTGTGTGTGTGTGTGTGTGTGTGTGTGTGTGTGGTAGCAGCAGACACTGATCAAAGAGAAGCGTGACCACACACTACTTTCATCTCTGTCTTCACGTGTGTGCGTGTGGTGGCTGTGGATGCACATGGCAGAACTTAGATTCAGCGTGTGTGTGTATATGTGTGTGTGTGTGTGTGTGTGTGTGTGTGTTAATTACTACAGCAGTGTGGTTACACACACACAGACTTTGAAGCTCACCAAAATGTGTGATTCTGCAGAGGAGTCAAACACAATGTGTGTGTAGGAGGAGTCATGGAAGGCCTAAAATTATCCAAATTCAACACTGTAAAAGAAGCCAACTTATATACAGTACATTGACATGAATCCATAGCACAATTTGTTGGGACTCATACGTATAAATTATCAGTATTTAAAGGGGGAAACTTTTGGCTTCAACAAAAGTTTTATTGTTGCCTTGAAATTTTGATTTGTCTTAACTTTCTACAGTGGATGACTCACCTGGATACACTGATACATTCCCTGGATGTGAAATGAACACATCAGTAACGTCAATCATACAGAACAAGTTTTAGTTTGTCTATTTTAAAGGAACACTTCACCCCCCAAAGGACACAATGATATAATTACTCACTCTGTGTTACGTTACAATTGGGAAGAAAATTTCTCGCATGCCTCCATGCTGGACAAACAGTGGTGGGCCGAGCACGTTTGGTGCCCTAGGCGACCCCCTAGGGTCAGTTCAGTAATACACATTTATGAAACAACCTTTAACATTACAATCTTTCACATGAAAAACAGCTTTGAAAAATAAGCACCATAATTCCCTCTCTAATATCTATTTTATAATGCTTTACAAGATGACATTGAACACATCATGAGAACGTTATAATTTACCTTCCTCCAATACTTTAATAATTTTTACTGAATAGGGCTTGAACACGTTACAATGTAAATCAATGCAACTTCCGTGATCTGTTGGTTGTTGCAGTAATCACCAAACAGCTTTTGTCATTTTAAAATAGTAAAAGAAGAATCCAAAGAATCCAAAAGCTGAGAAAATTCTTGACGAACTGAAGTCATAGGAGTCCACGTTTAACAACAGCAAAGCTATATCAAAATGTCTGTTTCTATACTCTAACACAACTCGTGCAGTATAATCAAAGTCTCAGTGGCGTCCTGAGTTCTGTTGTCACTGTTGCTGTTTTATTTCTCGCCATCGGTTTGGTCGAGGTTTCAGAAGAGCAGTAGTTTTAGCACACGTGTTGTCTTCTGTCTGTGCGTCGTGAGCTGCAGATGTAACTATCGACTACCAGAGGCCATATTAGGGTTGTTTGATGTCTCTCCAAAAGTGTGTGTTTGTGTGTGTGTGCGCACGCACATAGCATCTGCAATATGAATGGGTCTGGGTTCTGTCTGTGCACATTAGTGTGTATGTGTGTGTATTTTTAGCTCCTATATTTTAAGTGTTAGATAATGGTCCCTAAAGGAGTATCCTACTTCCACTGGAACTGAGTCCAAGATTTTAGATGGATCACAGCCGTGTGTGTGTATGTGTGTGTGTCCTCTCCCCGAGGCGAGCTGCGTTACAGTCAGTTGGTCCATAAAAGGCTCTGATATGTTTCAGGAAGTCAGCAGCGACTGTGGGCTGTTAAAGTGTTCACACACTCACAGCAACAAGAACTTCTGAATGTTAACACAACTCTCACAAACCTTCGGAGACTCTTTGAGTTCACTTTTATAACAACAGCACATTAAATCTGGGCTTCATTTTCACGTGAGGTCTGAAGGTGGCAGTAAACCCATTATAATATAATCATTTACAGCACTGGGGTCTAATAGTCTGACATCGCGAGACCAGTTCCTTAATGTGAGGTAGTCTGGAACCTGCAACCAAGGGTTGTTATCAAAGGATGTGGATCAAGATGCCTCTGGACACAAGGTCCAGAGGCACACAGGTTTATGCTTGCCTTAGTGCCTCCTGTAAGAGGGTGCACAAGCCAAAAATGACATCATTGAATATTTTATATAGAGTGTAAAGGCTCTGTAAGTTATCAGTTATCATGTCAAACCATTTAGGATAAATGGTTGTGACTGGCCTGAAGTGGGCGAGGTTGGACCAGACGTGGGCCAGACGTAGGAGTCCACTGTCGACCACTCCGAATGCAGTGTGGCTGTAAAGTTTCTCAGTTTGTTGAGAGTTGCCACAGTAACGAGACGAGCGCATTTCATGGATCGTGTTAGTTTCAGAGGATCTGGCTGTTGGCTGTTACAGTGATAAGAACAGAAACTGTGTTTGTACATGAGCGGTTGTGTGTTAGTGTGATAACATTATGACTAATGGTCTATAATGGGTTCAGGCCTCGGGGAGGGTGACATCACCAGGGACTGACACACTAAACATCATTACTGCTCCTGACCTCATTAACAACCAATCAACACCCTCTGTGTGTGTGTGTGTGTGTGTGTGTGTGTGTGTGTGTGGTAACAGTAGTGTATCTGATGGGTGTCCGCCCTGTGAACAGGCTCCACATGTTGACAGGAGGTCACGAGTTGATTTTAAGATCATTAAACATAGTTGTCGTTCCTGCTGCAGTGAAGGTGAACGGAGACCCAATTTAATGCAACAAAATTCTGTAACAAACTTCTCAAAGTACAAAACACATGAACCCACAGTCACATTAGTACAGTTATTATACAGTGAGGTTAATGTTCAACCACTGGGACACTGTTTCCGGAGAGATGAGATGGACGAGGTGACAATATCTAAACTATCTACATGGATCAAAACCAGCATTTTGTGATTTGGATGAGTCAATCCTTTAATGACTATAATAACTGCTGAGCGCTTGATGCTAATCTCTAGCCCTTTATACACAGAGGTCACGCTACAGAGCCAGTAACAAGTCTTTTCTTTATGCTGTCTTTGCATTTTTACACAGAACGTAACAACAGCGGCACCATGCTCGTCCAGTGTGTGATTTTAGACAGCATGCTGGCGTTTTTGAAGCAAAAAAGTTCTGACACTTTTGCCTTTGGTGTGACATATAACATGTGTCGGCAATGCTTTATGCGAAACATACCAATAACAATCATTCGCCGTCTCTGTTAAGGCCCTGACACACCAAGCTGACGATCTACTGTCGGTCAGTGTTGGGCCATCGATGAGCGTCTGTTGCCCTAGTTGCATCATTGCCTGTCATCGGCTCCCATTGACTTTTTAGCATGTTGATTCAGCCATGGCAGGGCCCGTCATTGAGTGCAACCACTCTGACTGGCAGTCCAGGTCCGCGCACAAGAAGAGAACCAGAAATGAGGAAAGTAAACAAAGAGCTAAAGTCAAAAGGAAGTGAGACCAAAGCAAACTTGTTTTGTAACGTAAGATTATTTTTCTTTAGCCACTGAGCTCTTTAACAGAAATGTGTCCTGATGGGTTGTGTTATTGTTCACTGGCGCACAGTAGATATGCTCTGTTCTGTTAATGTTGGATTGTGTTGTTAACTTGCTAACTGGCTAACTAGCATCCAGACGGTCTTCATGTTTACCTTTTTGAATGGTGAATGACGACTGCTGTGTGCTAGTGTGGAGAGCTATCTCCTCTCACACAGGCACAGAACGTACATGCTGGTTGGCCATCGGCTGTCGTCTTTGCAGTATGGTCATGAGCAACTTTTTTGGTTGAGACACGGTGACGTCAGGTGACCAGCAGGGGGCTTTTGTTGGCACTTGTTTGGTGTGTCCCGGCTCTATATGGCAGCTGATCTCATCCTCTGCTCGGAGGGTAAGGAGCTCCTGGACCTCATCGTCTCCTCAATTTTGTGCCACCATTTCCAGCCACTGTTCTTCTTTTTCGAGTTAGCTGCTAACTGCTATTAGCTACTTTTAAATCTCCAATCTCCAAACTCGGTGGGTCGCACACATAACACGTTATTAAAATGTCACACCCGTCCTGCCGTCTGTCCCTTTTATACAGATGTTGATCAAGCACTGTCACTACCTCCACTGCCGGCTTGAAGTTGAGACAACTCCGTCCTCCTATTTCATACCTTTTTAAAAAGAACAGCGAGGTGGTATAACAGTGTGACTTTCCCACCTTGAACAGGCTTCATTCTCTCCAGCCGACAGCAGGAACTGAGAACAGAAATGTGAAAGTGACGCAGGTTGTTTCCCTGCAGAAAGAAAGTTTTTAAAACAAGAGATTGAATCACTGCTCAGTTCTGATCAGGTGGTTTTAGTGTAAAGTTTCCCCTCGGCAACAACTTTGAGTTATTTATTTTTATTTCATGTGTGCACTGTTACTGCAGTGAGACTGAGGAAAGAAGCATTTTGTAATGAATCTTGTTTCCAAGGCTACTGCTCGAATTACATTGAGGTAAGACTATTAATCACAGGCCACCCAGCGGCTCAGTGGGTAGAGTGGGCGTCCCATGTACGAAGGCAGTGTCCTTGCTGCAGCGGGTGAGGGTTCAATTCCAGCCTGTGGCCCTCTGCTGCATGTCATCTCTCTTCTCCTTTCATGTTAAAGTCTGTCCTATAATATAATAAAATAAAATAAAATATGAGCAGAAATAATTAGTCCAATAGTAATTTGGCAGAAAAAGGCAGAGCTGCTGCAACAGGCTGTCAGCATGCTCCTGTCATCTTTGTTTGTATAAAACTAGATATAGTCCAAATAATAAACAATTAGTCCTATACATCTTTTGTGTATATTCTCTTAGATACATTTAACTCTTTATTATTCTCACAGTGTGACCTCAGTGGCAGCGCTTTGATCCGTCTGCAGATCTCAGGACAGAAACAAACACTGTGAGAACTCGTCTCTCTCTGACACACACACAGAGATGTTATCTGTTAACTGTAGTGTAGAGAGAGAGGTGAAGGCTCTGTGTGTGTGTGTGTGTGTGTGTGTGTGTGTGTGTGTGTGTGTGTGTGTGTCAAGGTGTCGCTGTAGCATCTGCGGCACCAGGCAGTAACCATGGCAACAAAGAGATGGTTTATACTGAAAAAGGCTGTGTTAGATAACAGTGAAAGTCTGTATTATTATTATTATTATTATTATTATTAGATAACAAACAGTAACTTCTTCACCAGCAGAACACATCCTGTGTCACACATGAAATCAGTTTGTGTCACAGATGGCCTGATCTAGAGCCAGCAGTCCTTTTTACACAGAGAGCATGCTGGCATGGCGGAATCAAAAGAGGCGTGATGGGCATCACATGTAACATAACAGCGCCAGCTTCTAGCGTGGCGTATAACATACCTGTCAGCAGGGCTTTATAGACAATAACAAAGGCATAGCATGTCAGTAACATTCATTTATCGTCTCTGTGATATGGTGGCTGATCTCTTCCTCTGCTCGGAGCTCCTAGACCTCACTGTTTTCACTATTTTCAGTTCTTGTTTGAGTTAGCCGCTGACTGCTATCAGCTTCTTTTTATGTTTACACGTTCAAGCCTCTCTCTGTTTTTAACTTTTGTCTGTGAGTGTTGTAACAATAATTATTCTTGATCTGTGTCTCAAACTGTGCTGCATTTGGTCCTTGAATTTTAGGGAATTGGGCCTGCAAAGTCCTTGAATTTGTTGTGAAGAAGGTGTGGGAAGCCTGAGGCGTCAGAAGCTCAGTGTGGGCAGGAGTGGTTTGTTGTACTTCAGTATCATGTAGGGTTTGGACTGTGATGGTGTGGAAAGAACCTAAACTCCACGTCACCACTAGTTAACAGCTCAAGAGAGATGATTCGCCTCTGTGCTGTTTCACTTTAACAAACTGCAGGATTATGATGAATGTTAACTCCGGAGGGAGAGACATGTCTGTTTTCCTACTGACTGATTGGTCTTGTATTAGAAGCAGGTTCCTACGTTGAGTGAGCTGCTGGGAATACTTTGTGAAAAAGACGACACAAAGAGCCACAGCTCACGCAGGTTTTAAAAATATCCTCCGAAACCTTTTAATAACCATCAGAGGAGGAGACACGGAAACAAGATGCTGCAGGCTCAAACTGTTCAGATGGCAGAGAGACATTCAGAGAGGAGGAAGAAAAGGATGAAGAGGAGGAGGAGGAGGAGGGGGCGTTCAGCAGCTTGTAAAATGACTTGACCTAGAAGATGAAACTAGAGAGATAAAACTACTTGCCCTCCATAATATCTTCCCCTTTCTGTGTATGTGCCCCACAGAGGGAGCACGTCACTCAGGATTATCCGAGTCAAACAAACAAGTCATTACCTGAGCTCTCTGTTCACACTTCTCGAGACCATCGCACTGAACCTGACGCGATAAAAATACCTGCAGGTGCACGTTATCACTTCTCTCCTTCTGCTGGGTCAGAATTACATTTCACACCAACCCACTGCAATTTATTTCCCCCTGCACCACCAAGTTTATCTACTGATATCATTTATTTTATTTGCCACCTGCTGGATACAGTGCAGGTTATCAAGCAGCTGATTAATTACGACTGGAAGGAAATGCAGATTTATGAGTAAATATCAGATGAAACATTTTTCTTTAGGGAAGAATTTCTGGATGTTTGAATGTGAGGGTTGTTAGATGAGGATGCGCACAGTGTTGAAACCAGTCACATCCTGCAGACTTCCTGTGCTCTGCTCCTCACAACAGGAGACTCACTGTAGAGAGGCTGTAGCTCCCCCTTGTGGTCACTCCATGGAACTACACAGATACAGATGAGAGCTGTGTTCAGGCTCATTTAGCTATAAAAGGCAGATTTATGAGTGTATAAAATAGGACACTGAGGAGGTGAATGATTCACTCTTCAGCTGTGTGTGTACGTGTCTGAGTACATAGCACGTCATGACCAAAGAATGGAACTAATAACAAAGGATATATCAAACCTTTTTTTCACCGTCAGTGAGAATGAACAGACATTCCTTTGTCAAACCTTCCATGTTTCATCTTTATAACAGTAATCCAGGTACTTTTTCACTTCTGTCTGTCAACACACCAGATGTTGTAGTGGTTAATAAAAAGTCCAAAGAGGTGTCAGTTGTAGAGCTAACCTGCACCTTTGACTCTAACTTGAAGGAGGCCTTTATGGCCAAGGTCATTAAATAAAAAACACTTCTAAATACCATCTGAGGTTCTAAGTGCAGATGACATGATTTCATATTTGGCAGTAATAATAATAAGAGTAACAATTTGTATAGCACCTGTCAGACAAGCAATGTGAGGTACACAGTGTCCGAATTTGCCGCGTCATCAAGGTCTTCTTTAATCGCTCTGAGTCTGGCCCCTCCCCTGGGACCACTTTGCCCCTCCACAACGTTAAAGCTAAAATGAGTTTCCGCCATGGGGTGTCTGGGCTCAGCCTTAGAGATAGGGTGAGGAGTTCAGACATCTGGAGGGAGCTCGGAGTGGAGCCGCTGCTCCTTTGCGCGAAAAGGTGTAAACTGAGGTAGTTCAGGCATCTAATCAAGGCTGCCCCCTGGGTGCCTCCTATTAGAGGTGTTCCGGGCAAGTCCTACTAGTAGGAGGCCCCGGGGCAGACCCAGAACACACTGTAGGGATTACATAGCTCATCTGGCCTGGGAACACCTTTGGGTCCCCAAGGAGGAGCTGGAAGGTGTTGCTGGGGAGAGGGGCGTCTGGGGTGCTTTGCTTGGCCCACTGCCCCCGAGACCCGGCCCTGGATAAGTGGATAAAAATGGATGGATGGATGGATGGATGGAGGTTTCTAAAATGATTTATATGAACAAAAAACTGGAGCGATGAACTCCCTCCACATGAGCGCTCCTGTAACAAAGCCGGAGCTAAAAGTGCACTGAGCTGCATGAGAGCGTGTGAATGTTGAGCTTACATAAGCTCTCTGCATCTTTTATGGTATAAAGGCTTTTTCTGTGTCACTGAGTGTCTGAGCGCAGATGTGGACCAACAGTAAGTCGGTTACACACTCTGTTGTTCTGTATCCAGCTGCTGCTCACTGCAGACATGCCTCTTTGTACAGTGATACAGTTCGACAGCAGCACAAACTATATCATCCTGGACAAGCTGGACTTAGCGAATGTTAAATTGACATTTTAGTATCTGAACACTTTAAATAAATCACTTTGGGGCTTTAGGAGAGATATTTGGATTGTTTAAATATGATGTTTCTCCAATGTACTGATCAGTGAGTCAGCCTGATGATACTGAAGGTGATTAACTGAAATCATCTCATTTATAAAAACATCAGGCTGTAAGTATGAACTCAGATACTTTAGAGAGGTCTGTGTGTGTTTGTGTTTCTGTAGCTGTAATTTAAGCGGCTCTTTTCTGATGTGAACCTCTAGGATTCCGATTGACTGGTGAAACTCTTTTTCCCTCCTCAGAAGTCAGAGAATCGTCACTGCCTGATCGGTCTTGTTTGTTTTAGAGATCTTTTTGTGGTTCCTCTAATGTGTACGGACCCTGACTGTAACTGTGTAAATGTGTTGCAGCTCAGTCTAACATGGCGTCTCGTCTTCCTCCTCTTCCTCTTGTTTGCTGCAGTGTTCCTGCGCAGCCACAAGAGTCTGGAGTCTGTCGATCCTCAGTTCACCATGAGGAGAAAGATGGAGCAGCTGCGAGAGGAGCTGGAGCTGATGGAGCAACTGCGAGACGTGAGATGCACTTTCCTCACCGTTTACTCATCATCAGTGTGTTTGGGATTAAATTAATATAAACAGTTTTGGTAGTTCTGTCCATCAGCTCAGTCAGGCAAGACTATAAACTAACTGGGACTAACTGGGACAAAGCAGTCCCTAACAATCTTCTCTCTGGTTTATCTGGTTTATCTGGTTTATCGTACTCACACACCTGTTTGTGTTGATGTTTCCTCCTCAGAGCATCGAGAGCAGACTGAAAGTCGTCCTTCCTGAAGACCTCGGATCGTCTCTGATGGACGGCGTCGTGCTCTGCCATCTGGCCAATCACATTCGCCCGCGCTCTGTCGGCAGCATCCACGTCCCCTCGCCTGCAGTGGTACGTCTCAGGCCTGACGTCTGGCATGATACACTGACACCAACGTGTTTAAAATATAACAGTCCAGAGCTTCTGATTATATTTCCAGCCCAAACTCAGCATGGCAAAGTGTCGGAGAAATGTGGAGAACTTCCTGGACGCCTGCAGAAAGATCGGTGTCCCAGAGGTAAGACACTTATACAGTAACTACAGCCCCCACCCTGTTAGTGCTCCGATGCTCATCTCTCTGAACTGGGGGTCGATTTCAAGTTTCTGCTCATCTCCACTGAAAATCTTCCTCACATAAATATTCTGAAGTGACACCAAACATGAAGACTTCAGACTTTGCACCAATTTCAGCTTTCCATCCTAAAGAGTTATTAATATTGAATTGATTATTGTGCTTTGACTTGATGAATTAATAACTGTTGAAGCAAAAGCAATTTGATTCACTCATTTCCTGTAGAGCAGAGGTTTTCAATCTGAGGTGCCGTCCCCAGCAGGAACAGTTAAAGGAGGGGTATGACAGGAAGTTATGGTATGTGTTCAAAGGGGCGTTTCTGGAGGGGGCGCACCGCTTCCCAACAGTGTCAGACTTTGAAAACCACTGTTGTAAAGGATCGATGCATTAAAACGGCAGAGTTTATAAATGATGAATCGATGCAGCCTGTGTGAACCCAGTTTGTTGTTTACTGCAGGTTATTGATCTATGGAAAGTGGTGGTCCTCCAGCATAACCAGTATAACTGATAAACAAACTGGGCAGCCCCACTGCTGCTGAAGGACACTCTGAAACCTCTGAGCTGAAAACACCCCCAGTTCATCAGAGAAACTTCCCCCAAAATCCGACAGTTAACTTGGTCATCAACATGTTTTGGCTTCAGTTGATTGATTGTTGATCAGAGGAACACAAAATATAAAGTATATATAAACTCTGAAGGTGTCCTGCAAAAAAACATTCTCTGGGTCTGAGAAAAAAAACATATTAAACATAAATAACAAGTCAACATTTCTGATTTCTGTGAGCAGGCGAGGTGAAAAGTGAAACTGAGGATTTTTGCAGGACACTGATGACGACACTAAACTGTGAACTAGCTCTAGGAGGAAAGCTGATGATTCGTTCTCAAGCTTTTTGTCATCTTTTTTGTCAACAGATATCAACACTTTATATTACATTTATAACTAATTTACAGGACTTTTTAAATGAAGCCTGGAGACTTAATTTTTACAATCAGAATCTGAAGTCTGGTGCGATTCAAATTCTGTTTCTGTCTCTAGATTAAAACTTGAGAATCTCTCAGCATCCTCCCGGGACTGGTTTAATGTTCCGACCTGCCTCCTTTTTGTTCTCATCGCTTTTAAACGAGGTCGTTAATGTCGACATTTAACGCTGAATCATCATCGCTGTCATCGCTGCCTGTGGCTTCAGCTTCCTCCATCACGACGGGAGTCCATCCAAGTCTGAAACAGAGCTCTGTGTTATGCGTGTGTGTGTGTGCGCGCGCGCGCGTGTGTGTGTGTGTGCATGTGTGTGTGAGTGTGTGTGTGTGTGTGTGTGTGTGTGAGAAACTACAGATATAAAAGTTTAGATCTGACTCCTTTGGAAAACCAATCTGTGGCTGTGCGTAACACATGAGATGTGTTAGCATGCAGACTGTGTAAAAGGAGAACATGGTGATTCAGTGCAGGTGGAGCAGCCAGGTGCTGTTTGTGTGACTGGTGGATTCTGGGAAATGTAGCAACAGAAGAGAGAAAATAAAAAGTAGTTGCCGAGGGTTCAGATTGAACCCACTCTTAAATCTGTATGCTAAATATGAAGCTTCTGTTAGTATGCTTAGCATAGCTTAGCCTAGCTTAGCATAGCTTAGCATAAAGACTGGAAATAGATGAAAACAGCTAGCATGGTTCTGTCAACAGATAACATAACTCCACCTACCAGCTTATCTAAAGCTCATCATAATGGATGCAGCTCTTGATGCAAGTGGCAAATATTCAAACTAGAACTTGAAGTAAACTGAAGTGGAGAAGGATGGGAACAACAGTTTTTCATGTTAGATCTTGTTTTCGTAATCCAAACTAAAACCAGAGTGCAAAAAGGGCGATAAAGCAGCTTAACTTAAAGCTGCAAAAACCCATTTAGCATTGTTAACTTTGGTAGCACCGCAAGTTGTGCTGACCTTGCTAATAGAGCTAACAGAGCTAACAATGCTAAAGGGGCTTCACTGCTCCAAATTAAGCTGCTTACTCACCAGGGAAACCTGGGGGGGGCCAGAGGGGGTGCACATTGTTTCCTCAGCAACTCATCGGTGAAAGGTAGCCAGCGGTGCCAGTGGTGATTTGCCATTTGCAAATCACCACTGGTAACATCATTGCACCACTATGGGTTGGGACGGTGTTACCACCAGTGATACGATACAGAGCGGTGACGACTAACGTTAGCTAACTAGCGTGGCATAAATGCCCTATAAGCTTTGTTGTAGTGCAGCATAGTGATAATACTACTTTGAAACTGAAGGACAGCAAAAGCCCTTTTTACACAGATTGCACAGTTTTAGAGCTGCTCCATAGTCCTGTCTTTACACCACCTTTTAATTTTGACACAGAGCCAAACAACTGCTCCATTTTGTGATTTTAGCCACTGTACTGGCATCTAGGAAGCAAAAGAGCCATGACGGATGTGACATGTAACACTTGTCCTCTAGTACGCTTTATAAACATTAACAATGGCATTGACATGGCAGAAACAATCATTTACCATCCGTGTTATATGGGTGATGATCTTGTCCTCTGCTCAGAGGGTAAGGAGCTCCTAAACCTCATTGTCTTCCCAGTTTGTGGACATTTTCAGTTGCTGTTCTCCGTTTTCGAGTTAGCTGCTAACTGCTATCAGCTACCAGCTTAAAGGCGAGACAGCGTGAAATCCCTGCAGTGAAGAGGTCGTGTCGAAGGGGCCAAAGTTAACTTATAAACCAACACGTATAACTGGTAAAAAATAATCTCTGGGGTTAACCAATTAATAATAATAATAATAATGATAATTAATTGTTGTGCTCAGTATTGTGCCTGAAGGCGTTTCCCTCATAGTGAAATACCTCACTCGGTTTAGAGAACCGGGGTTACCCTGTTCCCTCAGCCAATGGGTCACCAATTACAGAGAGGAGGGTAATTAAATCAGGCTGATTGCTGGTCATTGATGATATTATTTTTTCGTGTCATCTGTGAACCAGGACAGGGAATGTTGGATATCTGATATCACATCGTTAAGACTTAAAATTAGAGCATAATTTTTCAGTCAGGATCATTTGGTACTTCTGCTGCTTTACATGTGAACATTTATTTTATTTGTTTTTATTTTTTATTTTTATGTTTCATCTTTAACATCACATTAATATGTAGCTTTTTTTTTTTTTTTTTTTTTACTGTTTTCCGTACATCTACAAAAAATGGTGTGTTTTTGAGATAAAAACAAAGAAAGGTTCAAACACTTTGATTCTTCGTGTTCTGAGCTGTTGATCTGAACTGACTGGTTGACCTTTGACCTCCATCTCTGCTGCTGCTGCTTGCTGACTGTCTCCCGCCTCTGTGTGGACGTTTGCTAACTCTTCGGCTCCCTGCAGCCTGAATGCTTTTACTGACAACGCTTCTGCAAGCTAACGTGCTGAAAGCTTCTCCGAGCTAACGTGCTAACAGTAGCTTCTGTGCTAACGTGCTGTCCCGCTGCACTGGCTCTCCCATCAGCCTCTTCACTCCTCCATCACGGCCTGCTTACTGGGAGAGGGGTCAGAACTTTGCTCCGTCCTCTCAGTAAGCATCCCCGCTCGTTGCCATGGTAACCCCCCTGCCTGCTCCCGCCTCATCCCACCAGCTCACGCTCTGTGACCTTTGACCTCTGTGTCCATTGGTTAACCTCCTGCCTTTTCTTTCTCTTTTTTACTTTCCGGCTGGATCGCACCGTCTTCCTCTTCCTTCTCCTCCTCCTCCCCTTTGTTGACTGTTTTTTCACTTCTCACATTGTTGTTTTCATTTCAAACTGCCTCTCAACTTTGGTTTTGGTCCGATGGTTTCCTTCTTTCCCGTCCTCTTCTTCACATCCTCCTCCTCTTTTTTCCTCTCATACCTTTGTTTTGTTTCCTCTTTTCTCTATTTCTTTCCTCCTTGCTTCCTCAATTGCATCAACTTCTGTTGTTTTCTTCTTCACCACTGATCTCCCTGATGTTTCATTCTTGTTTTTATCTTGGAGAATATTTCACTTCTTCTCTTCTACTATATTCCATCTCTTCCTTTATTTGATATAAACTTCACCTCCTCTCTCGTGCTTGAACTTTTCTTTTAACTGTTTTTAACTCCTGCAACTTCTTCACCTCCAACGTTCTTCTATCCTTCTTTTACTCACCCCCTTGTTGCCTCCTCACATCTTTGTTACATCTCTGTGCCCTCTACTTCCCCCCTTATCCCTCCTTCATCTCCTTCATCCCTTGTTTCCCCATTTCCCATTGACTTTTTCCCCTTCCTCCTCCCTTGTTTCCTTTCTTTCCCCTCTTTTACTTATCCCCTCATTTCCTCCTCACATCTTTGTGCCATCTTCACTTCCTCTTTTTTCACCTTATCCTTCCCTCATCACCTTCATCCCTTGTTTCCTCTTATTTCTTGTTCCCTTGGCTCTTTGCCTTTGCCCTACCTCACTTCCTTTCTTCACTCCTTTTTTTACTCATCCCCTTGTTTTCTCCTCACATCTTTGTGCCATCTTCATTTCCCCTTATCCTTCCCTCATCTCCTTCATCCCTCATTTCCCCCCTCTCTCATTCCCTGGCTCGTTCCCTTTCCTCCTTTCCTTTCTTCCCTTCTTCTTTTTCTCATCCCCTTGTTTCCTCCTCACCCCTCCTCCCCCCGTATTCTTCCCTCATCTCCTTCATCCCTTATTCTCTTGTTTCCCCCTCTTTCTCATTCCCTGGCTCTTTCTCTTTCCTCCTTTGTTTCCTTTCTTCCTTCCTTCCTTGTTTTATTCCCACCTCATCTTCTTCTCCGTCCCTCCTTCCCTCCCTGCATTTTTTTCCTCCCGTCTTCCTAATGGGGGCGCCAGTCTTCCCTCTGTTCGCCCTATGACATCATCCAGTGCCGCCTGCAGCCGGTTCGCGCCACAGTTCAGGCGCTGGTTGCCTTGGATACAACCTCTGCGGACAGGAAACAGGAAGCGGCGACTCCAAACCCCGCCTCCTCAGGGGTGTCAGAGACTCCCTCGTTGGTTTCTGTTACCACTCAAACCCCGCCCCCCGCCTGGCAAATCTGGGACATTATTGGCTCGAGCCTGCTTCACATCCTCTGCCTAGTTCTGCTGTTCGTGGCCTATAGTTGGAGTGAGCTAACGTAACCGTGACAACCGCCTCCCCGCAGTCACCTGCCAGCCCCGCCCTCTTTCTGCCCAGGCTACGACTCCTTTTGTTTTTTTGCTGCATTTATGTCACATGGGAAAAATCAGCGTCTAAAAAAAAATATCTGAAAATGTTCGTTTTTGTGAGCTCATCAGCGTCGACTGTACGTCAGGAAACATTAAAGAGCAACTACACCCAAAAAATGTTGAGCATAAAAATATTTGTCACTCTTCTCAGACAAAATACAACGAAACTGCTGTTTATCTTTGTTTATATCAAATTTTAATGAGTTCATTGTTGAGCCCGAGTAGACGTTTGTGCCAAATTTGAAGAGCAGGGCATTCCTGATTAGGGCTGTCAACGAATATTCTAAATTCGAATTTAAATTCGAATTTGAAAAAAAAAATGGACCTTCGAATGTGAAAATTGATATTCGATTGTGGAGAAAAAAAAAAAAAAACGCAACTGTCCTCTTTGCGAGTGGGCGTTGGCCTGGGCCGCTGCACTGAACGCACTGCATAAGGCCACACAAATTCTCGCACGAGCTGGAGCACTTCCGTTCACATCAGACGCGCATTTCTCCAGCCTGGTCGACAAGCGGTTCTGCTCCCAGCTGTTGTCTCCGTCACCCGGCTTGACACATTCGCTCGCGGCTTGCGCAGAAAATAGACCAGACGGCGAAATGATCGCTGCAGAGCGCGAGCTGGTCACGGTCCGGCCCCTTGAGGCTATTTGCAGCGCTTCCGCGGGTGGTGTGGCCACGGGTCAGAGAGGCGGGGCGAGCGAGAGGTCCGCGGTCGTTTATAACGTAATGTTATAGATAATTGTTTTATGTGTTTTAATGTGTAGGTATGTAAATGTTTTCAAAGACGTTTATGTTGAAATAAAAATACCTACAAGTAGTTATGTTTCCTTGTATTAATACACCCTCTTGTGGACATAATGCGGAAAAAAAAATATTTGAATGGTTCGAACCTGTGAGTTATTTTTAGAAGGAATATTTGAACGTCATTTTTGAGCAATTTTGACAGCCCTATTCCTGATACATCTTGTTCACGAGAATCAGACAGACAGAAGGTCACACTGACCTTTGGCCACCAAATTCTAATTAGTTCATCTTCGAGTTAAAGTGGACATTTTTGCCGAATTTCAAGAAATTCCCTCAAGGTGTTCTTGAGATGCCGTGTTAACAGGAATTGGACGGACGGAAACATAGTGCCTCTGGCCACAGATATCACCACCGCTCTAGAGCAGGCAGCAGCTCCAGAGACAGACCTTCAGTCGTGGGCTGTGGTGGCTCAAATTCAGACTGTGCAAACCCCCCTGCTCTGGATGTCACAGCGGGCTGGTTGCCAGCAGCAGTGCCGGGTCTAACCTGTGTAAAGGCAGCAACAGAAAGTCTGCTGATCCGGCGGGGAGTCTGGTCCCCTGGAACTGGGGTTTGCTCTGACTGGATTTAGGTTGCTCAGTCAGTCCCTGGAGCTGCTGCCCGCTCTCCTCCTGGCGAGGTGGTCTGTAGCGGCAGGGAGTGAGGTGGAGAACATGCTGTGATTCGATGCTCTAGGTGACGGTAGGTAAACGTGAACTTGAAGCTGCAGCTGTTAGGCTTTGGCTCTTTTTAACAGAAGACTAAACTATTAGCGACATTTTCTCTCCATCTGTTTAACACTTCGCTGATACTGACGCGTTTTTTTTTTCCTGTTTATTGTCATACTCTTTCTGTCCGTCTTCCTCTTTTGGGTTCCCTTGCAGTGTAGGCAGTTGTTGCCAATGCTGGAAGAGCAACTTTCTCTGCAGGATTCTCCACCACTGAATCAGACTTTCACCATCTGATGGGATGTTATTATGGGATTTATTTCTCAGTGACACCAAAAATACTTCTTCCATGACATTTTAATTATCCTACGTTGGATCAGTAAGGTTATAATATTCTGCTGATCCCATGTGACAGTAATGCAGCCTCAGCATGACCCTCTCTCTACTCACCTTCTACTCTTTGATTTTCTCTTCTTGTCCCCTGCTTTTGGGAGAAATCAGCTCACAAGCGTTTCTGTGTCTGCAATAAAGTGACAGTGAAAGTCGAAACAGCAGCAGGACGTGTGGAGCAGCAGGTTACTTAAAGTCACTGATGTCTTATCAGTGTGCTGTTCAGCAGGATAATCCGATCTGTGCAGGACTCAGAGGTGAAGGTGGAGCCATGAAAACTCTTTGGTCCATCACGGATTTTAGCACCATGGAAGAACGAAAATTAAAAATTGGCACATCTTCTCCGTGACAGAACAAATTCAGTGGTCGTGTTTTTTATGTTTTTATAGATTAAAGGTCTAGTGTGTCAGATTTAGGAGGACATATTGGCATGAATGGACTGTATTTTCTTTAGTGTGTAATCACCTGAAATTAAGAATTGTTTTGTTTTCGTTACCTTAGAATGAGCCTGTTATATCTACATAGGGAGCAGGTCCCCAACTACAGAGATCACCATGGTGCACCGCCATGTTTCTACAGTAGCCCAGAATGGACAATCCAAACACTGGCTCTAGATAGGGACATTCATGTTTTCATGTCATCACAGTTCTCCTACACACACTCTGGAACCTCACCACTGGATACCAGTAAATCCTACACACTGGACCTGTGTGTAGTGTGCAGTTTTACGAGAGCAGCCTGAACCCAGAAACCCAGAAATTAGTTAGCATTTTACTTTTTTTTAGCACGGTTCCCTCCTCTCAAAGTCAACAGGGTTTTTAATGTGTTTTTGGTTAGATGTCTGAAATAAGGTCTGTAGTTAACACAAGTTCACGTTTGGTTCTACGACACAAATTATGTAAGTAAATACCCCATTATGAATTTTGAAGCTTTTATGTGTCTTGAAAAAAGCAGTTGCCAGCAAGTAGCTAAATGAGATTGCTGAACGTCGTCACGCTAAACACGGCTTCACAGCCCTGTGGTTGTGGCGATGTTAAATCATGCAGTGTAGTTTGGTTATAGCCCAACGTTAGCTTTTTACTTCTGGGGATTGAACAAAATGTGTCGTAAACGTTTGCTACAGAGCTCATTTTCTGCAATTCACCAAAATCCAGTTGAAGAATCCCACTGGATTTTTGACTGGCTGATGCAAACATCCGCGTTTACCTACAGAAAAATGTCCCTGGAGCACTCTGTGGAGGTCGAGTGGACAACACGCTGTAGGCAAGGTGTTTTGTTTTTATTACTCTAACAACTGGGTGTTGACACATAGTTATGTCCATCCATTTTCATCCGCTTATCCGGGGCCGGGTCGCAGGGGCAGCAGGCCAAGCAAAGCCCCCCAGACGTCCCTCTCCCCAGCAACACTTTCCAGCTCCTCCTGGGGGACCCCAAGGCGTTTCCAGGCCAGATGAGATATGTAATCCCTCCAGTGTGTTCTGGATCTGCCCCGCGGCCTCCTACCAGTGGGACGTGCCCAGAACACCTCCAGCGGGAGGCGCCCAGGAGGATCCTGATCAGATGCCAGAGCCACCTCAACTGACCCCTTTCAACACGAAGGAGAAGCGGCTCTACTCCGAGCTCCCTCAGGATGTCTGAGCTCCTCACCCTATCTCTAAGGCTGAGCCCAGACACCCCACAGAGGAAACTCATTTCCACCCCCTGTATCTGCGATCTCATTCTTTAGGTCACTACCCAGAGCTCATGACCATAGGTGAGGGTTGGGACGTTGATGGACCAGTAAATTGAAAGATTTGCCTTCTGGCTCTGTTCCCACTTCACCACGACGGACTGGCGCAGCGCTCCCATCACTCCAGAAGCCACACCGACCCGCCGATCCATCCCACACTCCCCAAGATACTTGAACTCCCTCGCTTGAGGTAGAAACTCTCTCCCAACATAGTTATGTATTATATTAAATTAAATGGTTTTATAAACAATTTCTTCATATCCTAGATTACAGTGGCAGTGGCAGTGTTTACATGCACATGACCTTTCATATTAAAAGAATCTGTTTCTTTGTTAAAACATTATTTATCCATGAAGACATGCAAATCCAGGGCATTTAAACCAACCCACACTGATTTCATAGAGTGGACGTAACAAAACCTCCTGAACAATGAATGCTGAAAGAATTCTAACCAGGAGAAGTTTCAGCTGGTTGCAATCTGTAATCATCATCACTAGACGCCACTGAATCCTCCTAAATCTGACACACTGGGCCTTTCAAGCTTTTAGTTTCAGAGAGACGACATCAGATGAGTTAGTATCGTCATGGTGTTTCAGAATAATGATGTGAATAATAAGCACATGATTCCTGAGTGAAGATGTACAGTGGTTCCCTGTCACCGAGCTGCACAAACACTATTTGATCTTTTTTAATGTGTGGTAATTATAAAGTGATGAGGAGCAAACGGAAGCCATATGATAATAATTATTGATGATTTGAATCAGTTAGATGTAATTTCAAGTCTTAATTTGAATATGAATCGTTATTTAAATTTTTTTTTTTTTTTTTTTTTTTTTTTTTTTTATGTTTGGAAACTTAATTTATTTATTCTGTCCTGCTTTTTTTAATGTACATCTCTCCTGTACCCTGATATGCAATGTGACTGTTCCTGAAGGGCTATAGACACTAGACGAGTTCATGATGTTAGATATTAAAGTTAATCTTCTTATGCTGTTTATGTTTGAGGGTTTGATACGTAGAGGAGTAGATTATCGCTCAGTTTGTGATGATGAGAGGAGGTTAAAAACTGAGGACTGGTGCCCACTGCAACTTTATAAAACATAGTTTTTCCTGGTGATGTGAGCAGCTGATTGGCTGCTGGATTCATTCACAGAAACATCTCCACTGGTACTTGAAACAGAAAATGAAAATGCCTTGTATTTATGATAAATAGAGCACCGGATATATGACATAGATCAGTGTAAGATGAGTGAGTCGTGATGATAATGTTTATTTCTGTTAATATGAATGTGATTATTTAACTTAATCATGTTCTGTGAATTAACTCCTGCAGTAAATTTAGTTTCTGTTGTTTCCACATTCTCTGCACAGATTTTTTATTTAACTTTGTGTTGATGTGAATGGATCTCATGTATGAGGAGGATTATTTTTATGACTTGTGTATGATATTTGACTGTGAGACTGAGGTAATAAATGCAGTTTAGGGATGCCGTCTGTTCTACAGTCATTGTTTATCTCAGAGCTGCAGAGGCAGAAAACTGGAGGAGCTGCAGGTCTGACAGAAACGGTTCAACATTTAACAAGTGTGGTTCGTTTGGGCAGGTGTGAACAGAGCAATCACACTCAGGTGTGAACACAGCAATCACACTCAGGTGTGAACACACCAAAACAACCGGACTGAGACCTTCTTGAAGAGGTGGTCTCAGTCCGGTTCCAAAGGAACTCTGGTGCGGTTGGTTTGTGGTGAGAAGGTGTTCCGACCTGGATG